AGGGAGATTGAGACGGGAAAGGAAGAGGAGGGAATAAGAAGAGCGAGGGTGAGAGGTGAGAAACAGAGGGAGAGAGAGAGATGTGGGAGGTACAGTGGAGGGAGGAGAGGTAGATGAGGGCACAGAGGAATAGACAAATATATAAAAAACAGAGACACAATGAGAAATCAAGACAAATTGAGATATACAGCATGGGGAAGGCAAGATAAAGGTTGAGAAACACCGGGCACTATATAAGAAAACAAGATTTACTGGCAGCCTGGGAGGGACAGATAGACGATCACGTGCAAAGGACGTGCGGGTTGCTAGTATTTGGTAAAATAACGAATATCTCTAACGATCATTAAATGGTGCTTTATCTCTGTTGGCAGCCCTGAGCCAATTCTGGAAATTCCTCATCCTAATAATGGGATAATTTGAGTCCTGCCTGGGATTTGAACTTGCAACATTCCGGACTCAAATCAAGCTCTCTGCCACAGCACCGCATGTTCAGGTTATATAAACGTGTATTTAAGCAAACAAGTTTTTACAAGACAACATCATTATCCTCGTCATCATCCTGACGAAAAGTATTTCCTTGGAGAAAGTTTATAAAAAAAAAGACAATTCCTATTGTAGCATAGCACAAAGGACAATTTTATTTCAATAAAAATATGATCCCCCATTCCCAATTTTATTTTTCCTGTGCTATCAGGATCTTGTCATGAGGTAGAGTATCAATTTGAATCGCTCACAGTTGTATCAGAGAATGGCCCAGGAAGTGGATATTGCAGAGCTACCTCTACAACTCCTTTACACGACCTCTAACCCGCACAAAAATACTCTCCCACCCACACCGCCACTGACAGTAATGTTCATGGCATGACAATGAAGTCGATATTTTCATAGGTGGGAGATGTTTTGTGTGTGCGCAGAGATTTGTGGCTGGGCTGAGACAATTTAACGATTCTATCAATTGTTTACAATCTTGAAAAACACTTGACAATACAATGGCACATCAGCATATAACGTGCTGGGGTCCCTTCAAAAATTATCCAGAGTTATAATTGGGTTAAGGTGAGGGGCCTTGAACATAAGTAGATTCTGAATTCATCATGGAAACGCTTAACAGCATTAAAGTGCTCAACTGCAGCAACAACTACGCTATTAGACCATCACAAATACTATTAATTTGCAGCCTGACATCTATTCAGCATTAACCACATTTTCTCATTACCTTAAAATATAAGGTTGCTAGTTTAAAACCCAATTGGGGATTAACTCGGCCTACCATACCTTTGGGGCCAATAAAAAGAGTGGACAGTCAACTATGGTTGCACTATGCAGAGACTGTCTCCTACCACGGTAATGCGCAGGATTTGTCAGTTGAGATAAGCATTGCTACATGTTTTTTTATTGAACCAGGTAAGGTCCCACTGAGCTCTATAGCTCTGTTTCAGAAGCGACATGGCCACAAACGGTAGCTCAAGGAAGTGGCTTATCACGTAGAAATGCATGCTCGTTTGGAGCAAGGAGACACTCTTGAGGGAGATGCACTTTAGACATTGACCACTGTTCTCCAGTGAGGCTATCAAAAGTACAAACACCCCCGTCGTGGTCAATGCTTAAACATGGCACGCTCCACACAACTGCAGATTCCAGAAAAAGTTAAACATTTACCCTGGCAGGAACACCACCCTTGTAATCATGCTGCTACACTAAGATGGAGCTGTGATTAAGTATTGTCTCGATGTTTGCCCGTAATTGTAGTTTGTCATTTTACATTTTACGTGAGGCAGAGCTTCGAGCTTCTGTTGATCATTAAAGGCGTATTATACACAATGTACTGATACTGCATGTCACTGTAGCTCACTTATACAGTGAGGGAAAAAAGTGTTTGATCCCCTGCTGATTTTGTACGTTTTCCCACTGACAAAGAAATGATCAGTCTATCATTTTAATGGTAGGTTTATATGAACAGTGAGAGACAGAATAACAACAAGAAAATCCAGAAAAACGCATGTCAAAAATGTTATAAATTGATTTGCATTTTAATGAGGGAAATAAGTATTTGACCCCCTCTCAATCAGAGATTTCTGGCTCCCAGGTGTCTTTTATACAGGTAACGAGCTGAGATTACGAGCACACTCTTAAAGGGAGTGCTCCTAATCTCAGCGTGTTACCTGTATAAAAGACACCTGTCCACAGAAGCAATCAATCAATCAGATTCCAAACTCTCCACCATGGCCAAGACCAAAGAGCTCTCCAAGGATGTCAGAGACAAGATTGTAGACCTACACAATGCTGGAATGGGCTACAAGACCAGCTTGGTGAGAAGGTGACAACAGTTGGTGCGATTATTCTCAAATGGAAGAAACACAAAATAACTGTCAATCTCCCTCGGCCTGGGGCTCCATGCAATATCTCACCTCGTGGAGTTACAATGATCATGAGAACGGTGAGGAATCAGCTCAGATCTACACGGGAGGATCTTGTCAATGATTTCAAGGCAGCTGGGACCATAGTCACCAAGAAAACAATTGATAACACACTACGCCGTGAAGGACTGAAATCCTGCAGCGCCCGCAAGGTCCCCCTGCTCAAGAAAGCACATATACATGCCCGTCTGATGTTTGCCAATGAACATCTGAATGATTCAGAGGACAACTGGTGAAAGTGTTGTGGTCAGATGAGACCAAAATGGAGCTCTTTGGCATCAACTCAACTCGCCGTGTTTGGAGGAGGAGGAATGCTGCCTATGACCCCAAGAACACCATCCCCACCGTCAAACATGGAGGTGGAAACATGATTTAGGGGTGTTTTTCTGCTAAGGGGACAGGACAACTTCACCGCATCAAAGGGACGATGGACGGGGCCATGTACCGTCAAATCTTGGGTGATAACCTCCTTCCCTCAGCCAGGGCATTGGAAATGGGTCGTGGATGGGTATTCCAGCATGACAATGACCCAAAACACACGGCCAAGGCAACAAAGGAGTGGCTCAAGAACAAGCACATTAAGGTCCTGGAGTGGCCTAGCCAGTCTCCAGCCCTTAATCCCATAGAAAATGGAGGGAGCTGAAGGTTCGAGTTGCCAAACGTCAGCCTCGAAACCTTAATGACTTGGAGAAGATCTGCAAAGATGAGTGGGACAAAATCCCTCCTGAGATGTGCGCAAACCTGGTGGCCAACTACAAGAAACGTCTGACCTCTGTGATTGCCAACAAGGGTTTTTGCCACCAAGTACTAAGTCATGTTTTGCAGAGGGGTCAAATACTTATTTCCCTCATTAAAATGCAAATCAATTTATAACATTTTTGACATGCGTTTTTCTGGATTTTTGTTGTTATTCTGTCTCTCTCTTTTCAAATAAACCTACCATTAAAATTATAGACTGATCATTTCTTTGTCAGTGGGCAAACGTACAAAATCAGCAGGGGATCAAATACTTTTTTCCCTCACTGTAAGCACAGCAGTTGGAAATCCTTTAGTAGGGGTAGAGATGAAGGTGGTGGGCAGTTACCAATTAAGGGAATTGAAAATAATTGTACAGAGATGTTTTATCATTGATGCACATTGGCCCTTATTTTGGTTTTGTGTAGTGGTAACACCTGTGTCTCACAGCAACAGGGGCCTGTGTTCGATTCCTGACTCGTTTCTGCATGGTGTTTGTATGTCCTCCCCTCCCTCCCTGTTCTGCATGGGTTGCCTCCAGGTTCACTGGTTTCCCCCTATTGCTAAATCAAATGCACAATATAACTTGTGTTGGCCAAACATCCCAATGCGGAAAAAATACCTGCAAGTTACTCAATTGGGATCACACACAGTAGCAGCAACATTGCCCCTCACTGCGAAAGCTTAGTAGGACGCTCGTGAAAAAGAGTGTTGAGATTCAGTGAGGCTTTCTTTGGTAAACAAGCGTAACAATAATTACGCCATCATCTCCATCCGTGAACTATCCACTGCTGGATTAAGGGCTCCCCAAACCGTTACCATCTTTCATGGTATTGCGATGTAACAATCCATAAAGCACCAACACACAAGCTGATTTATTCACTCCATCTCCCTGGTGGACGTTCTGTCAGGAAAGACCCCCCCTTTTCGGCTGTCACTCCACCATTAATCACAGTGCTTCAACATGTCGAAGCACTATCAGCGGGATGAAACTTCCTCCAGCCATTGTCTTACTCTGCTGTATGCAACCACAACACTGGACAATGCCACTAAATTAAAGGTGCCGGATATTCCCCAAATAAGTGAACCAGCAGCTATTCTACTATTCCACAACTCCACAGCCATCACGGTATTGGTACAATGGGCCGTAGACACTGGTACTGGTTATCCCTTTGAAGAAAAATTGGTCCCTGCCATTAGAATGTGGAATGTCCACCACTGGCTCAGGGCACCAAAAAGACAAGTACCACCCCAATGCTCATTTAAGCAGGAAGACAGCAATATTGTAGGTGTGTGTGTGTGTAGTTTGTAAATCAGATTTCATTTATAAAAATGCATACATCAAAAAAGCATACATGGATGGCTTGGTGGTTTCCGTGACTAAGCGACTGACATTCGAAAAGTCGCGAGCTCAGACCCCAAGTGGAGACGCAGTCCTCAGTCCTCTGGGGCTGATAAAATGATTACCACTTTGTGGGAGGTCAATAATGGCTGGCCCACTGCTGTAGAAATGTGGAATTGACACCACAGGCTGCAGGCAGACGCTGCGACGTTGCACTTTGACAAAAAGCAACAACGGCAAAGGCTAACAGAGCAAGTCTATGTTGCCAGACGGGATTTTAGCACCACCATAGGATATTAGTACCATCTATTGTAGCCATTCACTTGCATGGCTGATAACGGTGAAATAATTGACAACCCAGTAATGGTAATCACGTAACGCACTGTTGTTGGCCAAATCGTGAAATTCGAATGACAAATGTTAAGCCACTTTAGGTGATCCCGACCAGTGAAATATCTGGTCTGGGCTCATGGACTACATTAAGAAGTGAAGAAGGGGGACCTTACTTGTCTGGTACTGTATGGAGTAGCCTGTGAGCCGGCCATTGATAAGCTCCGGGTGATCCCAATCGATCTTGAGCGAAGTCTGCGATGGTCTGTAGAGGCGCAAATTCTCAGGCTGGCTGGGCACTGTGAGCATACGGCACGCACATACACACACACACAGGCACACGAGTTAAATTAAACAATAAAACATTGTGGAAGTCCTGAGTGTGACATTAGACTGCGTAGGGAGTCACCTGAAAAGAAAAACCACTGTTGAGGAAAGCAATGGGAAAACAACCTCAACTTTTATTCCCTCAACGGCTCAACACCCAGATTGGAATTGCACGGTTTTGGAGACTGCCTGAGCCATGGACCTGCCCTTGGGCAAGAGAACCTTAATCGAAAAGCGCACCCACACTGCATGCCTTTTATGCAGTCGCATTTGTCTGGAAAATTACTTTAAATTACATTTCCTAGGAGAGAACGCCTTTCAAATAGGCTTCATGCAGATATGTGGAATGGCATATATTAAAGTTGGGTTTAATTGACTCTTTGGTTGTTTAATAAGAATTGAGTTTAAGAAGCGATATTGGACTTTGCCGTAATTTACATTTTTCCTTGCATTAGGACCCCGCATGCTTCTATTTTAATAGCAGCATGAAGGGACCTTTTTTAAGGCCTTGTGTGCTTTCCAAAAATATGGTATTTAATACAAAACCTTTTACATTCGTATTAAAAAGGACTTTTTCATCATCAAGTATTAATACGTTTTCATCATCAAGTATTAATACGTTTTCATCATCAAGTATTAATACTTTTTCATTATTTTTTTCATCTGTTACAATGTTGGTGTTTATGTGATACAATAAAACAAAAAAATTCATTCATTCGATTTTAGCATCGCCTTTATGGAGCTGTAATTGATGAGAAAATGGTTATTGTTTACATTTATATTAAGTCAAAATGTTAACACCCATTCACGGAATTAATGAGGTCAAAAAATATAAAGCATCCACTTGAACAACACCACATATGGTATTTGATTAAGCAAGGGATGTGTTAGCTATTGTATAGGTGGTCGCTTCAATTCTGAAAATAACAACCCAACCAATATTATTACCACGTGTTAATTATGTGATTATTTGAGTGACCCTTGAGGGATGATAGCAGAATCAGTCCCTGATAGTGATTTCAACTTATGACCTTGATATTGTTAGGTGAGAGCTCTGACTAGCTTGGCTCTATGGATAACAAAAAAAATCATCATATTTGTCAATCACACTGCCCTGAAAAGGATAGAAAGATATATATATAAAAAGACAACGTTTTTGGCAAAGGTTATTCTTGATTGCACATGACATATGAAAGAATGCCAATGCCCAACAGGCCACATACTTTTATATTATTCATATATTCCTTTTAGGGGAGTGTGCTTAATGTGTAGAGTTTGTATTATTTGTGCAAATGCACCACTGTATATACAGTGTCACAAAATAAGTACATTAAATCACTGAGTAAACCCTGAAAGTCAAAACCGGTCCAGAGTTGTCCTGCTAAAGACAAAGGCTGCTGAAACATGGAGGTCTGTCACAGGCCCATAACCTAAGTAATGACAAGTGTTCTTTTATTTTTCTGGTGGTGAGACAGACCCTCGTCTGTTAAATTAAGACCTCTTTCTTAACTTGTTGCATCCAAACTGAGAGAAGATGTGACGCACGTGAGTATATGCCTGGTTTTTTTTTCCGATGATAATTAGGCAAGTGCATCCACTTTGTCCTGTATGCAATAAGGAGCATTACACAGCCACAGGCTGCCGAGCCATATACAAGTGCTGTTTACAATAATTTCACAACCTTTCTTCTTTATTCATTATTTAATTTGCAGCTGACAGCCACAAGCAAAACACGTGCCAAACGCCACGGGCACAGGGCTAAAACGGAGACAAATGGGCTCGGTGGAAATAGATTCCAGGGATGACGACGGCAAGAGATAGTGGGGTCATTTAGTTTTGTTGGACATCAACGTAAAGTTGAAGTCAAATACACAAGCCCAGCAACTGACCAATTATTCTGCTCTAGCGCTTGTACTGTGCATGCCAGCAGAATAAACTCCTAAATGTCACAGAATGCTCATATCACCGTGTGTTGCAGTGTGTTCCTGAGCTGAGACAATTGGAAGTGGTCACCTTCGCTGGTGGTCTTCAGCTTGTGGTGGAATTCACACATTCCCACGGTGGAGGCAATTTTATCCAGAGGACTACTTGAATTGTGAAAACTACCAAACTTACACGAGGTTATACGTTTCACAGGAGATCGAAGCACAGGAAGTAGCTGTGTGAACCTGTCTGGTCAGTTCACTGGAGTGTCGTGCAGCAGGGTGGTGTAGTGGAAGGTAACACTCGCGCCTCAGGGCAAGGAGGCCCTGGTTTTGATTCCTAACTCGGGCACCCTTTTTGTTTAGAGTTTCTATATTTTACCCCTTGCTCTGCATGGGTTTCCATGCAAGATCCGACCATGTCTGTCTGGTGCTCGTCGAGCTGCATTGGCTTCCAGATGCTGAACGAATACACCATGAGGTTGCACTCATTGCACACAAAGTGCTTGCACACAAATGAACCACAATACCTCGCTGACCTCGTCAAAGAGCATGAACCATCACGCAAACTCCGGTCATCCTCGTCGCGGCATTTGGATAACGGTTGAACAAAGATGATTACTGCGTCGAAACGTTTTCAGATGCGCTTCTGCGGCTATCTGGAACGCTCTTCCTTCCGATATGAGGAAGCCACTCGAACTATGCACTTTGAAATCTAAATTGAAAACGAATTTCTTTAGAACTCCTTTATGTGTTTCGTTTGTTGCCCTTCCCCTGCATGTTAAACACATGATCTTTAACGGAAATTGGTCAAACATCCCTATGCAAGACCCTCCTCAAAAGTCCAAACACTCAGGAAGGCATTCCTGTATATGTAAACGAGATGGTAATTGTTATTATTATTGCTATTATCTTCATGTCATAATGTATTCATTCTATTGAATGCAAAGGGCTCTTTCATTTCGCAATATGTGTTTGATCTCCGGACTTAACGCTCCCGAAAAAATGTGTGAAATTTCATTTTTAAAATTAAGTCTGCGGGCAAAAATATTGAAGTGCTAGATTGAAGTGCGCTATAGTAATTGGCTGCGGAAAAGTGTATTGGTACTATGCAGTCATTGATTTTTAAGACAAAGCCTTGGAGGTAATGCATTGCTCATTAACATAGCAAGTGAGGCATGCGTTAGATGATGAACTGTGCCATGTGTGGTAATAAATGAAGAGACACAACAGCGTCCTTCAGTTTCTCTGCAGCCGTGACGAACCCAAGTGACTTTCACCCTTTGTTTGACTTGCACACAGCGGCATTCAGTTAGGTACAGACAATGTTTAAATGTAGGCAATTCATTTTCCAAAAAAACTCGCATTTGTTCGGCATTTTGTAACGGTAAAGGAACACAGCCTTCTTACCTTAAATTGCAACACCAAGTGTGTGTGCAAAGAATAAAAATGTGACTGCATCTCAAAATGCTATACAAATAAGGGAAAACATTCCCATCTGCAGAGTTTGAAGAAAGGGGCCTTTTTATACATCTTCATACATTTGTTGTTATAAAAGCAAATGAGGGGTACAATTCAGCATGTCGGCGAGGGAATTGAGACGCTATGCTGGTAGAAGTGCGAATGGAGACAATTCACAGAGAGATTGGAGCAATGTGGTACAATTCATCACCATTGACCTTCTCTGAGCCCAGCGGTCAACATTCCACATTCCCATGGAAGGAGCCAGTCCCATCAAAACACATTCTGCTCAAGTAGTGGCTTTGGTTAGAGAAACTTGACTCACAAGTTCAAACCCTGATCAGGGGATTCGCCTAGCTCATTATCCCTCCAGTGTCAGTAAAAATGATTTACACTTTGTAGGAAGTCAGCGGTTGTTGCTGTTCGACTTTATGCGTAGACTTGTCCCGCCACGGTGATGTTGAAACTCCACCAGAGAGCCAGGGACACCAACAGAGATGCATGAGATAAAGTGATGAGATAATTTTAATGTTTTTAATAGCTTGTTTACGCATTTATTTAAGGTAATTCATTGAAATATCATTATCAGCAACATGTTACATTCATGAGCATCTCTGGAACGTATCCCTTGCCAATAACGAGGGAATACTGTACTGTATATAAAAATGTATCCTTCTTCAATCGAGCCACAGGGTGGTGCTCTTACTCCATTGGTGGCCCAAGGCAAGGGATGATGTAAATTCCACATTCCAATGGAAAGTGCCAGTATATTCAAAGGACGACTACTGTTAACTTCTGACGAAGTAGAACTATCTTATCTATACAAGATTGATGATTGTCTAAGGCAGCTAATCGAGATTTAAACTTGCAAACTTCCCATTGCGAGCCAGGGAGATCTTCTGCAGTCACTTCTGGCCAGATTGTCAAATATTGTCCTAAAAAAAAGTCATCATTCGTGCTGTCCCAGTGCAACGCAAAATATGTACCCATGAGCAAGAGTATCAGCACACCCCAAAGATGTAGAGTTGTAGACGTTCTCGACCAACAGGTGGTTTGTTATTTTTGTCCAGCGGTATACATGAGCAATTTCCCATGGCTCATTTCAACTAGACACTGTTAGCTTTCACTTGATAAAGCTAACACGGTGCAGTATTTAAGCTATCTACCAAGATACACTGTAAAAAAAAACATTTAATATCATGCTATTTTCTGCAACGATTAATCACTGGGCTGAGACCATCATCGCAATACCGTTGAGAATCTCATTCAATGATACATTATTTGGTGATGCTGCATTGGCAGTGGTGCACAAGCACAATACATTAAACAAAAACTAAAACTAATTCGCCACAAACGTCACCAATTATGTACTTTTCCTCTTAACGCAGTGCTGTTGACAAACGTGTTGAGCTTTTGGTTTCATGACCGGGTGTGTGCCCAGATTTTGAACTCAGTTTCCCGGCAGTGCCGGCTTAATTTCCTCGCCATGTAACACGGCCACTATGAGCCATCAACCAACCAGCCACCTTACGCGGGTAAAACACTTTGTCCGCTGTTTTTGAATGCTGCATAGGCTCGGGCCTGTCCGCAGATGGCAGGCAGACTGCACATATGACACGTCACCGTGCCTTCGCATACAGTCGAGGCGCAGGGGCAGCGACTAACACAGCGAGGTGAGGCAATACCGCCCCCGTTACCAAGGCGATGTCAATATGAATCGTCCTCAAGGTCTTCTCGTGACTAACGGAGCAGCAGGAGAAGCACACTGCGTGCAGCGACGGTGGCTGCATGCAACCGATGGAGCTGTGCTGTGAATGTTCGAGCCATTGAACCGACGTGTGAATGAATGAGTGAGTGAGCAAGGGAGCGGGTGAGTGAATTTGCTGGTTAAGGGGGGACAAAAATCTTCCGTGAGAGTTTGTGTGTTTCTAGACTCTCTTTTCTCTTTATATCTTCCCCCCCACCCCCATCCCTGGTCAATGCACCCAGAGCTATACAATAGGTAAGAGAGGCAGCCCATTCATCACTACTACTGCTTTTATCAATGAGACGGGACCACCTGCTGCAGTTCTGCCCCAGTGCGTCTGAAATGCAGCTCTCACTTCTCCCACACTGCCCCTACCCCCACCCCCTGCCTCCATCTCCGCTTCAATCCAATACGGCTGCCCTTAAATTCACGGCTTTCCCCCACGTCCTCCGATTAGCACGGTTGGCTACGTACGGTGCGAAAGAAGTTCAACATACGTACGTACGTACATACATCCACCTCGTGCATTCACTGCAAGTGGATTGATCGAATGGTTGATGGACATTATTTAACCGGGTGAAAACCCACGGAGGCTCATTATCTATGTTTCATACGGGATCTGAAATATATTTCATTTCGAACCAATGGCAAATGAAAAATCACAACGGGATTTGTACGCAGTCAGATCACTCAAATTCTTATAAGGGACCGACTCAGAGTCTCTGCTGCTTCTAGATGAAAGAAGAATGTCTGTGCTAAAAAAAAATATTCAAAGACTTGAATTTTTCTAAAATTCGGAAATAAAATAAGATTTTTTTTGCTGAAATGGGAGAGAGATGCCGTGGTAAGAAATTTATTTTCTTGCTGAAGTGGTTTTCCCACCTGATGATAATTGCCTGTGTTGCAATCGAAACGTCGTGATTTATTTTATTTTATACCTACGTGATTTTACCAAAAGAACCAAAGAGTATGGATTTCTGCAGTCACGAAAGCTTCAAATCAAGTGCGCAGCAAATAATCGAAATTCCCTGGTAGGTTTGGGTGAAGCTACTTGGTAGTATCACGGTGTAATGCGGAAAGAAAGTGTTGTAGATGTAGCCGGGAAAAGAGGTTGTGATGGGTGGGATACAAATGTAAGGTGGGAGAAGGGCAGGTATAGAGACAGGTATTGGAATGGTACCTAGAGGTTAGTGGCTAAAAGGGGATATATCTAAAGGCAAATTTTACGGGTCGGTAAGATCGTGCTTTGGAGGTCTGATGCCAACTTCATAACATTTGCGATATCTGTGAGAAGAAAGAGAGCGGTGGTGCGGTAAAGTGGCATTCAATGATATCCGGTCACGATGATCTCTTCACGTTGACCTAGACGCCGGTGCCCGTACGTGGGGTGCGTGTTCGGCGGATGTTCGTGCTCACCTCCCTCCGGCGTGTGGAACTGCTGCCGGGTGCTGGCCGGGCCATCGCTCTTGCGGTTGAACACGCAAACTTCCAGCTGATAGAGGCTGTAGGGGCGCAGGCCTGGAACCACGCCGTGCGTGCGGACCGGCTGGAACTCCAGCACCTCCCGGTTTGACCGGCGTCGCCTGCGGTCCCCCAGCGCCCGCACGCGCCAGTAGTGCACCTGCATGGCACGGTCACATGATGGCACCGGGCTCGGCTCGGCTCAATTTGTAAGGAAGAAAGTCAAGTGTTCGCACGCTATGTAGCCAACCGTGCTAATCGGAGTTGCGGGGGAAGGACAATAAACTCAACACAAACATAGTTCTAAAGAAATTAGTTTTCAGTTTAGATGATTTAAAAGGGCGTAGCTCCAGTGGCTCCCCAATTTCGTAAAGAACAGCATTCCAGATGGCGCAGAAGCACATCTGAAAGTGCGCGACATGGTCACCATCTCTGTTCGATGGCAAGCCAAAAGCCGCTGGGAGGATGACCGGAGTTTGTGTGATAAGTGTAAGCCAAACGTGCAGCATCGATTTTTTTATTGGTATTGAAAATGTCCACTTTTCTATAGAAGGGGGCCAGCACTGCTGATATTTCCAAAAGTTAGTAGTCATTTAGTGACCCCAGGTAGATTGATATTTAGAGTTGACCCCAGAGATTGATTATATTTCTGATCACTCTTTCAATTGTGAGTTGTGTAATCAAATAATAGCACTGCACGGTGAGATGTTCTTAAAACACCTAAAAACTAACACATTTAACGTACCATCACAGAGGTGTATAAGGTGTGCACTGATGTAGGATGTTGGTGAGCACTTATGGAGGTAAACTCTATAAATTATGGGATGGCTATGGCCAAACACCATGCTTGCCCAGCTAGCTGCCTTTGCTTCCCCATTGTTGACGGTGAAAACGCAACCTATCGTAGGTGCTCATGCAAAGGCTGAATCAGCCTTGGGGATTCAGAGAACAAGTTAATACTGGTTGATACTGGAATTGTGTATATATTCAGGAATCTTTCCCGACAAAAATTCCCTGTAAATATATATATTTTAACAGAGTGTTGGGGGCATGTTCTGTTAGTGAGTACACATTAAGCTTGGCTTTGCACACGAGGGTGTAGTATTTGTGTGGCCTGCATTAAGACCGGCTCACTTTTGCTCACCTTGCAAACTGGACTCGATACTAATTTTAAGGTTAAGTCAGCTTAGCGAGGTCCAGAACAAGTTCTGAAACCATACGCTACTCATATTACGCCATGGCTGGGAATCTCTTTCAGGCCACTGAGCTCCGAGCACAGAGCACAAACATCAGCACCACTGTTCCCCACACATTGCACACACCGTGCCACCAATCCCCACAAATGCCCACACACCCCTTTGACAGCGACCTTGCTGCTAACCATCACGCAAAGGGGCACGGACGCAATATCAAGAATTTCAATGCAAGTCCTTGGAAAGGGGCTGCGTCAGTGGCTGTCGGTCAGTCAGCCTGCGCACGACATTCAGGAGCGTGCACGACAGCATGTCACGGCAGGACGGCGGGGTCAATCCTGACACTGCAGAGCTGTCGAACACGCTACCGGGCTCTCGCTGATTAAAGTCACCCTGGTGTGTGTGCAGTGCATACACCCTGCGCTTGGGCACTCCTTGCCCATAATTTCCGCTGGCGAGAACGCGTTAATCACACACGCGCGAGCTATGATGCGCTGTCCCGGGCAGGTGGTGCTGCAACAATGACGATTGACTTACAATGGAAAAAGGTTGCGAGGTCAAAACGTGGCTCTGCAATTAAGTCACTCTACCATCCGTTTAGGTGTCAATAAAGTGAGTACCACTTTGAGGAGAACTGATCAGAGTGCGTAACCCTGCAAATGTATTTCGGAGGTTATACGTTGAGATCTGTGTTTTTAATTGTTGTAAGGATAATGTTAATGAAGGCTGGTACGGCACATGGGGGGGGGGGGGGGGTGGCCAGCACCACGACCTCAGCCTTTGTCTCCCCAGTGGCAATGTTTACACACCGCACCAAATACTCATTTGAAGCCGAGTCGACCTAGGGGTGGCCCAGGACTGGTTCAGATAATCGGCACTGGTGTTGGCCGTGAGTGGGAATTGAACTCGGGCCACTGGGTTCATAGCGCAGCGCGCTAACCGCTACACGATTACTCCCCACCGACACAACACAAGCACACTCGCACACACACACGTATATGTACCCTGTAGCCCAGGATATGTCCGCGCACTGACTCCAGAGGCACGGGCTCCCAGGTCACTTTGATGATGGTGCTGTTCAGCACCTCAACACGCACGTTCTTGGGCGACTCCAAAGGAACTGCAAAAGGATGCAACGACATCAATTAAGACGTCCTTACCTTGAACATCATCATGGCTGTTCATAGTAAAGCTCTAACGACGATTTTATTTGTCAACGTAACTAAATTCATTCTCTGATGGTACATGCAAGAATGTATTTTTTTTGTTTCATTGTCATATATGTAATTCTTTCTGGTGACATCGGCAGCCACTAGTCATTGCCAAAATCAAATGCAAAAAACCAATACTCCTTAATTAATGAGGGTAAAACCCCTCTATGCCTCCCATGCTGCAGCATGGCCAATGCATTTGTGGAAGGGATGTCTGTTAACCCGGAGGTAAATCAGTATGTCAGGGATCAAGGCAGAGAAAGGAATACTCACGACACAGCAATGATCGTCACTATGGTGGTAAAGAGCACAGACTGGTCGTGAATATATTGGGTCACTTGCATCACCACACTCCAGGCTATGGCAAACCGTGATTTGTTGCGTTTGGCAGAGAAGTTGTAGCCAAAATATAAATGTTGATTGTACTTAATGATGAATTATTGTATGCTCACACCACAATTAGACATGATGTTGTACAGACAAAGCAACTTTTCAGCTTATGGTATTGCAACAAAGCAGCTGAATGTTGATGAGTTAAGTTCATGTCTAACAGTTTCTAAGTGTTTTTGGTTGGGTTTAGGTCGTATTAATTGGCCAAACAACCAGCACATGCTTTGGATCAAATTATACACACGGCAAATTACATACACGGACTGTATTGATTAAACAGTAGTTAGTGTATTGTGCCTTCATTAATTTGGAAACATTTTACCGTGAATGTGGCCGAAATTTGATCTGTGTTCTAATTTGGTTACAGTAATATGATTGTGTATTAAATATGTTAATCTGGCCAGGCTGTCCTGTGTTTAGAGCATCTGATTTGGACTGACAAGGTTGTCAATTTAATTACTGGTCTGGGTTTTACTCCAATAATAAAGGACCCCCCCCCCCATATGGGAGGTCTTCAGTGGTCACTCGATGGAGAGATTGGCACCCTCCATGGGAACGAGGAATTTCCACCACTGTCTCAGGGCTGCTAAAGTAGATGAGAGGCACTCCATGCTCGTGTGTGCAAAGAGACACTATAAATGTTACATGATGGACAATGAGACAGAGGTGAGTAATCATGGTGACAATAAAAAGAATGATGATGGCAATGCTGTTGGCAATAATACTGCTGATGATGAAATGATGATGATGATAATGTAAATATAAGATGATCATTGTGATGGCTTTACAATAGTGGATCATCGCAGAATGGTATTCAGCCTAAGTAATGTGGACATTTTGCAATAAGACGTTACATTAAGAGATTCAGTCAAGGGATTTGGGAGATGCATAGTGAATTTCTCAGATGTGTCCAGGGAATGTGGAACAGTGGACAATTGTCCACTCGATATTCCATCACTAGACGTTGTTCACCATATTCATAGTGTAGTGTTCCTTTAGTCTCCCATTTGTGCAGAATGTATCCGCAGCATCCATTAGTTGATGATAATAATCATGGAGAAAATGTATGATGGCTACAAGAGTGGAGTACTGTATATTACAGATGTGTCATGCACAGTATGTATGCTGAAGTTATTGCACACCGTACATAGCCAGCAGTGCTAATCGGAGGTGTAGGGGAAGGACAATCAACTAAACACTAAAAGCAGTTCTAAAAAAAAATAGTTTTCAATATAGATGATTTCAAAGTGTGTAGCCCCAGTGGCTTCCTAGTTACGGAAGAAAGAGCGTTCCGGACTGGCGTCAGAAAGCGCGCGGTGCGGTGACCGTCCTTGCTCGACGGCTAGCCTACATCCGCCACTGCCGCGAGGAAGACCGGAGGTCCCGCGATGATGGTTTACGCTCCATCCTCACCGTCCTCCCCAGAATATCCGATAACGACGTCGGGCTCGGGTCCCAGGCCAATGTTGTTGACGGCCCGCACACGGATCTCGTACGGCGAGAAGGTTGGCGTGCCCGACACAACCACGTGGGAACGGTTAAGCACCGTCTCCGTCGTCCACTCCGCGTCGCCGCTCGACTGGAGACGCCACGACACGCGGTAGCCGAAGCCTGGGCCGTTCTGGTCCACTCCTCGCATGGGCTGCGTGCGCGAGAGATCGGGGAACGCGTAAATTTGACGGGGAACATGCCTCTTGCTGTCCTTCAGGGTTTAAGTTCGTTTGACCGGGTAATGGCTCGAGAGACCAGGATGAGTCTCATTTGTGTGCGTGACCTGGGTCACCAACATGACAAAAGCAAGAGTGTAAAAAACAATGTACAGCAAGTAAGAAATCAGAGCAAAACACAAGCATGCAAATTACACCACAACAACAGCCTTACTAGCAGAAATAAAAAAGAGTGCACAGACCTAATGAATATTTCCAGTATCAAGAGTTCGTTTGGAAACATTACTTTTAAAAAGTATTCATAGGAAAAAATAATCTACAGATACATCAACGCATATATACAGGGTGATTACTGCACTTGTATATTGACATACAAGGACACTTATCAAATACAACTGCAAGTGAAGTTAAGGTAAAGAAGAGAATTGTTCCGGGACAGGCGGTACAGTGGTCAGGCAGCATGACTCGCAATCGGAGGGTTGAGAGTCCAAAATCCTGGGCAGAGGTCGATTCATCACTTGCAACTTTATGGAAATAAAAAAATGAAATGGCCCTCCACGAGGGGACTGGACCACTCGGCAGGAATGTGAAATTTTCACCACAGACTTAGTGCTATGAACAAAAGGTGACAGCCTCCTCAAATTCATTTGAGGGGGGGAAATCACAGATTTTTTAATGCAAAAAAATGCCGGATTGAATGACAGCCGATCATCAACCATCTAAGATTGATACAAAATATGTACCTATTTGTAACAGTTTTACACCCATTTTATTCCCAAGAAAACTAGGAATTTCTCTTAATAATAAAATAATACATAGCAGAATACATTTTCTACAGGCAATTAAAACAGATAATTTAAATTGAGCATCCAGCCAGGTGGCCCTGTGGCAAAATGTATGACTCACAACTGAAGGGCTTGTTCAATTCCTGGTCATGGATTCACCATCCAACGGGGTGTGGGCCTATAAAACTTCTATCATTTTGTTTAAAGCCAGCAGTCGTTGTCTTACAAAGAGACTGGCCCTTTAGCTTTGGAATGTGACATGTCCAGCCCTGGCTTAGGGGCAGCCAAAAGAACACTGGCCCAGTTCAATGCTCGTTTGAGTATTGACAGACACTTTGACTTCTGACATCAAGAACAAATCTATTAAAAGTACAATAAGCGGTCTATACATTTCCTCTCTCGTACATGGCATTGTCTGAGGCCTTTATATAGATGCAAGGACGAGGGCAAACTCATTGCAGGTGGGTTAAGGTGTGTGGCTGTATTTGCGGACACATTCAAACGTGAATGCCCATTGTGTCGTGGGGTCTTGCACAGTTTGGGCACCAACGTCATGTTTGCTCACCGTCCAGGAAATGATCATGTTCGTGGGATTGGTTCCTTCCCCTTTCACACCCGATGGATTTATTTGAGGACCTGTAAAAGAATAAAACGTGACGATAGCGCAATGGTTATCCGTATGTTGGCTAAAATTTATTGTGTGCGTGTGTGTTTGCGTGTGTGCGTGTCTACGTCTTTGTTTTGTGGGTAATGCTAAAAAATACTTTAAGTTGTTTACAATGCAGTCTTTTTGACGTGATGAGACGCAACAGGACCAGGTGGTTTAGAGTTCAGGGAAACAAAAATAAAGGTGACATCGTCACATGGATGACGCATGTTGCCTTTAGAAATACCAAAGTTCAGCCGGGTCACCGCGCACGCCCGCACAGCACTACCCCCAAGTCTGTTCACCCGCGAATCGTAATGGGTAAAATGTTGGTTTCTGCCTGAATCTTAAAACGGTTAAAACAATAACAGCAACTTTAACAACACTGAGCCAATCTGCCTTTGAAAGTTTTTTTATCCTTCTAAATGTGAGCATCACTGGTAATGCAGCAGTTATTGTCCATCCAGAGTTTTGCTGAGAAGGTGGTGGCACTGGGCCCCTCCTTCATGAACCGCTGCAGCCCTTGTGTGGTGATGGTGCCCCCGTAAGGTGCCCCATGAATATATAACATAAGATGAGACAAATGTCCAAGTCGAGAGCATGGTAATGATTAGAGGGCTGTACCAATGCATTAATTCGCCAATTAAAATTATCGTGCTCACAATACAATGACAGCAATTGTACACGGGACAATCGAGTAGTTCTAATCATAATGTGTTTGGGTCATGGAAACAGTACAGCCCCTGCTAATTCTACAAGCACGGTAATGCAAAATAATAATATATTGTGACTCCAAAATGTTAGAAGTCATCAAATTGTGAATCTTGCGGATTTTGTATCACCCGTATAATTTGGTCAAAGTCAAGAGGTTATTTCCAATACCATTAATGGTATTACACCTGGTTGTCCCATCCTTCCTTCTGCTAGATCACGTCATTGTTGCAACGCTGACACTTGGCCTATTACAGTTTCATTACCCACATCTTGCTTTAGAGTTTGCATTTTGTTGCTGGCCTCTGGGTGCCACGACATCTCCCGTCTCGTTAACCTGCTCCCCTCCATGCTGCACAGGTGTCCAACCAATCACAAACTCCTCTCTCGGATTGCATCTATAAAACTTTATTGCCATATTCTCTTCCAAACTTCCAAAGTTATTTACCTTATCCTGCCATGAAAATTGCCAGCCTCCTCCACATGTGGTACTCTGTTTAACTTCGTCTAAATGTGCTTTACCATCACGTTTATTTGATACGTAAAATAGCCTGTTTGAACGTGTCCAATTTTCCTGCATCTTGTCTTGCATTCTGTAACCGAAGAACGTTACATTTGCACTATTTCGCTTTATTACATGTATACCTGGGGGAGCTGTGGCACCTGATTCCAACGGTCTGAGTTCGGTTCCCAGCCACGACTAATATCAGCGGAGTGTGATAATGAACGAGGTACTGGGCCCACCCACCTTGATGAACCCGCACCGACTCTTTTGGTGAACTATGGTCAAATAATCTCCACGACCACCACAATGGGGCTGTCAACTAAACATATACACCAAGTTAATCAGGAACTTGTGGTAACCTCCCCAGCTACCGGGCCACCCCTAAGGGCAGCCTCGCTTGCTGCTAGCCTCCTCGGTGAAGAGGAGTGGCGGAGAGTGGATGGTGGGTGGTGGTGCCCCCGTGCTCTGCTCACTTGCGGAAACGGTGAGGCAGCGCTCCGTCGGGAGGCTGGGCTCGCTCGGGCCCACCGAGTTGACGGCGACGACGCGGAAGCGGTAGCTGACGTAGGGCGACAGCGAGTCGAGCAGCACCGAGTTGCGGGAGCCTGGGAACGAGCTGAGCCTGTGCCACACGCCCGGCTCGAACCAGTCCTCCTCGTACTCCACCACGAACTCTGCACGCGCGCGCACGCACGTCCGAGCGGGCGAGCGTAAACACGCGCACGTGGACGGGACGCCCGCTCGAACGCGTACGCGTACGTAGATTGGCGCGTGTTTACACATGTAGGAACAGGCATGCACGTGTGACAGAGATACCAACCCCCCCACCCCCTCCCCGTATAGCCTTTAACAGACGGCTGTTAGCGAGCGCCTATGAAGAACCACACGATGCACGAAAGGAGGGTGGGTGTGGCCAGCACCATGTCTGGCTGCCATTGTGTTTTATTCCCCAGTGCTGATGTTTGCACACTGTAGCAGGTATTAATTTTAAGCTGAGTTTACCTAGGGGAGGCCCAGAACAGGTTTTCATCTATAGCCAAGAATGGAAGCCAGCTTGCTGGGATCATCGCGCAGTGCGCTCACTGATCAATGCACCACCGCTCCACACAAACACGCGCGCACTCAAGACCCATGCACGCACCGTCCCAATGTGCATTAATTATGGTAATTTAATTCAGAGCATTACCCTGGGCTTCCCTAATTAGCATTGGAGCACATTGCGATTTAAGCGCCGGATATAAAGGCAAATCCTCCTAACTTGCAATTAGAGGAGGAAACGCGAACAATGAACCCCCCCCCCCCCCACCCTTTATTGTGTGCCAGCAACATTATTCATTCGTGAATCTGCATGGACAAGGGCTCTCTGAAAAATGGAACAATTGAAACCATTGACAAGCAAACAAGACTGCTCGTCCTGTACGCTGGGCTCTTGAGCGGCGAGGGTAAGAATAGAGAGAGACCTTTGATGGGGTCATTGTTCTCGGAGCCAGGATTCCAGGTGAGACGCACGCTCAGGTCTTGCCGGTTTGTCAGCTCCAAGTCCATGGGTGAATCCGGGCGGTCTGACGCACACGGATTAACGCGTGCACACACACACAGGGAAAGACACACATGCACAAGGACATACAAAGGCACACACCCGTACACGAAAAATTAATGCACACACACACATGCAAAGGCACAAATGCAAAAACATACGCGGATGCACACAAAGACTAACTACTCGCATAAAATGACGTACGCACACAAATTATATTATCGTTATACACAGACACACGTAAATACAAAACAATGTCACAGAGACTTGACCATCAACTTTTATAACGGACGATGCTTTACATAAATGAACTGCAAGAACTACTATAGAGTGGTTGGACTGAATTATCAATTTATATATCATGCACATACTACATATGGTAATTAATATAGGTAAATTACATAGCGTAGTTTCACTATCTTACACTTACCCTGAAGCCAAAACAAGAAGTACTGCCCAGACAACACATCTTCAAGACTATGAAAACACAAAATTCTGCCAACAATATATATTTAATAAAATATAATCAAACACACACACACACCTCTGTTGACGAATGGAATGCAACATTCCATTTTACTGCCTTTCACTTACTCTGAACTAAAAGTCACCCTGGTCAAAGTCAAAGTTTTGACTGTTTTAATCTGATACCTCGCGAACTTTAAACAGTGTACACACGTTCAGCAAAGCCAGCATTTATACGCGCATGTGAATATGGTTAAATGAAGAAGAAAAAAACCAACACTGTGAATCCATTCCGTGCAATGCGCGTACTGTGTGCACACCAAGTATGAAGCACATGAAGCAATGTTACACAAAGGCATGAAAACCAAGAACCTGGATTCTCAAGGCATTTTGACTGAGTGTGCCAGTCATTTGCGGTAGACATTTGATTAAATGTTGGTTAACCAGTCACCTCGTTTGCATAATGCATGCTTAACATAATACTTATTATGTATGTATATTATGAAGTAATTTTAATTGGCGTCTCATTGCTCAAAAAACAAATTGGAAGTGCCCAACTCCAAGAAAAAACTCGAACCAGTTACGACGATTCCACATTGTTATGGTGGGACCAGTTTGTCCAGAATGATGACCATTGTTAGACTTCCCACAAAATGGTACTCATTTCATGAACCCCAGATAGATGACGGGCTAAGTCGACCCCTGACCAGGACTTGACCTTGCAATATTATTGATTACAAACACCATATGGGCTGATCGGTAAAATAAATGCTTGTAAGTAAATAAATAAATAATCCACGCATTTATACCCATTAATGTACATTTCATAACGTATTTACCAAAGACAGACTGGACGGATGCCCTTGCTTGGGATGCGTGACATACGATAAGAGCAGAGAATCCAGTTCCTTTGTCTTTAAAATGTCCTTTAATTATACACAAGGGCACACACCTTGCCCTGCCTTTCTAAGATGAAAATCACGACTAAGCATGCACGCGTGTGGCAAAACAGTTAATTATAATGTGCTGACCAACAGCTCCTGTTGAGCTGGGAACAGCCGGGCAGCCTGGTTTTGTTCCGCATTAAAGTTGCCTTTCCTCTGTAGAAACTGAAGCTGCTGTCATCATTCAGCACGGCGCAATAATGCCCCATGGACACGCAAGGTGAATGTGCATTGACCATTGCAGCCAAGGCGACTCAAGACCTGGTGGCCTGCATTGCAATTGTACTGCGTGTCGGTATGGGATGCCGTGCACGCTGCGCAAATATACACAACCGCAGCGTCGCGTTCAGGTGGGACCTATTAGATTTGGCGAATTAGCAGGGGACAATCAGGGCATGCCTTATGAAGCAACCGTTCAATTACATTAACCAAATGATGTCAAGGTGGCACATACCAAGGTTGCACAGCAACGTGAGAAATTAACCCACAGTGGGTAAGAGGAAAGGTGCAGGCCTGGACCAGCAATGTCTCGTGACATTTGCTGGCAGGAGGGCCTCGACTCGAGGGAGCTCTCAAAAGCCCCTCTAAGTTGTGTTTGGCCTACTCTCCCGCACTGGCGAGATTTAAACCCACAATGGCTTGCAAAATGTAGCCATCACTCTTAAATGAGGCTCATAAGTGTTCTCTTTGTGAATGGCCTTCCAATAGACTTGATTTGAAGCTTTCGTGATTGCAAACCAAAGAGTAAGACCTTCCAATAATTATCTAACACAGCCTCGCAGTGGCTGCAAAGGCTTCTGTGTAAATATACACACTAGTAAATCAAGCAAAGCATTGTGGGCGTATTCCTTTAATGATGCGCAACCAAATAAATAAATATATCATTCGACTTTAGCCTGTGCTTATTTTATATTTTGATTTGGCCTGTAAATATCTTAAGTCTTCCGGGGATTTGTGCTGGCTTGATTAGATGTTAGCTTGATTAAGCAGGCTACCCCACCTGATGACGGACGCTTGTGTTGCGCCCGAAACGTCGTGATTTCTTATATTTTACACCTACGTGACTTTACCAAAAGAACCAAAGAGTATGGCTTCCTGCAGTCACGAAAGCTTCAAATCAAAATTGATTCAGCAGTTTATGTGTTTTAAAGGAAGACACAACTCAAAATGAATACACTGGTATTTTCTTGATTAACTAGGCTGTCCGACACAAGTTTGAAACTTTGTCATAAAAAAAACCCGAATGCCACAGCCATGTGACTTTTAGGCACACCACCATAGCCAATGACATCACAACCTCGCTGGAGACCATTCACCTCCATGCGCAAGGTGGGAGCCACGTGATCCCGGCTACAACTCAATGCATAGTGCAAGTTGGTAAAACGCACAGTGCAAGTCTCTTGTCTCCAATTTGTTTCGTGGAGTGGAGGGGAATTTGAAAGCTACAATTATGGCATCTTGTAGCCAGCAGTCATATTTTTTTAAAGATGGACCTGCATGTTTATTTTTATATTTAAAAAAGGATTTCAAATGTGCAGTTGCTGTCGATCGATATTCACTCGACGAAGCACAACAGCTTCAAACTAATGTTTGAGTTGTGTCTCACTTAAAATCAGGAGAGAAAAATCGCACTAAAATACTGTACCTGGGCTGATTATGAAAAAAAAACCAGCCACGAAAATCATGATCGCCATCTGTGATCAGATGAAATGGATGAGCGCCGCACGACGACAGACTAACTAGATCCAAGTGCTCATGCTGATGTGATGTGAGGGCATCACAGATAAATGCAGTGGGCCGAAGCGCAGGGAACAGACGGGGGTTTCGTTTTACCTATCGTTACCGCCACACCGCCGACGGGGCTGGGGATAGAGGGAGAGCTAACTAGCGTCGCGTTGAGCTCGGGAGAGAATAGGGTGGCGTCTGGGGAGTCTTAGGATGTTCCCAGGGGAGACAGCACGGGAAAAGGAGAGGGCAGGCAGGGTTAGGGTCAAAGTGTAAAGAACATCGTGAGGGAGAGGGAGGCGTTAGTTAATGAACAAAAAGCACAGACTGGAGGCACAGGAACCGTTCAATTAATGCGGCACAATGTTAAACTAGGCCTTTGCTGTTGTAGAGAATATTCACGTATTTTTTACTATTTGAATTATGCCACAGGCATCGTGTCATGAGATGAATACATTTCCTTTGTGAGCTCTCCCACTCAGCACTGTAACGTCAGATATTGTTAGAGAATGGCCCATGGATGATAACATCACAAAAATACTTCTGAATCCACTTCAATCGCCCCCCTCTCTGCAGCACAAGGTGGTACACATTTGTATATATGTCCTGCAGAGAGTGTTCATCACGTCAATAAAATTTGTTTAACTTCCCAGACCTGAAATGAGCCAGATTGAGCGAAAACCCAACTTTTTGCACGATATCTCAGCACAGTTATTAGTTAACTGGACAGAGATCATCAACCTACGACATGCCTGAGAACAAAACTCCTTCAATCATGGGTGGCTGAAACTCAGATTCGAACCCAACCTCTCAGCAGTACTGGCTCATTGCTCTGAGAAAGCATTAGCCCCCTAAGCTAATCGGCCACCTCTAGATAGTCATTTTCTAGACATAGCATACATTTCTTGAAATGTTCTTGTTACCGCATGCCGGGTTAGTTGTCGCAATACTTGCAAATATAATTCAGTGTTTACAACAAAGCAAAAAATTAAATCATTCAATCGACAATCAAGCAGGTAAACGGCACACAACCAAATAACAGGAAAGAAGGACAAGTTGGTTCATATCCAGAAGGCAGGCGGGGAAAATCACATTAGTTCTGCAGGCAGGGGAAGGGAAAACACAACTTGGTTAATAACATTGAGGCACAGACACAGGGAGTGTGAGAATCACGGCCGGAGATCACATTTAGGGTTGTGTGAACAGAGTAATGCGACTCACACGTAACCCTATAGAGGACAGGAGCTGCAGGTAAACAGGGACAATCGGTGGCAATCTTGCACGCACGTGCCGCTTAACACAGCGGGATCCGTCAAGGGACTTGCGTTTCGACGTTTGTAAATCTTTGGCACGCAATAGGTGGACTGAATAAACCCTCCTTGATGGAATCTTAAATATTTTCTGATCGAAAAAGATTTCGTTTCATAAACAATCGACGTAAATGATGATTTACGTACTATACAGTAGATGCTTTTGGACATTTTCCTCGCAGAGGACAAATTAAACGACCATCAAAATTGATTTGTTTGGTGCAGCCAATCGGTGACCGTGCTGAGGCCATCAACTCGCCACGCTCGAGAACCCGGTTTAATCAGAGGAGTCTGTCCCAATTTGAACCAGGCATATCGGCAGTGTTGGCTCATTACTTTTACACAGCCATTATGAGTCCTCTGAGCCACCTCAAAGCTTGCTACTTTAAATATCATTGGGATATGCCTTATGCAGCAACAGTCAACTAGCACATTACAAAACAACGTCTTAGTGCATAATCAAATGAAGCATTGGCCAGTGCTCATTGCGAGTTCTAAGCCAGTGGTGGAAATTATTTGTTGCTCTGGCAGGAATCAGTCTCCACACAACGAATACTTTTAACTTCCCACAAATTTGTTTTAATCATGTTATTAATCCGACGCAGATAATGGGCTTAGTTGAGTCACAACCAGGATTTGAACTCACAACCCTACGATACTGCGAAAATGTGGCAGGACCCTCCTGAAAAACAGTTATGAGACTCAGCGAGGCTTTCCTTGGTAAACAAATGTAATAATAAGTAATAACAACAAAGTGGCCAGTGTGGATGCTGAAATCATATGCGCAACAAACATTTTGCCAGCAAGGCTTTAGATAAAAAAACAAACTGATTTTGCCAGGAGACAGGACAATGCCTTCGAGCTGAGAGAGCGGTGGCACACACTGACGCAACGGTGCCGTGAGTCTGTGATACAGAACACACCCCACATTTGAGCCTACAACATCAGGTGGTTCACCAGCATTGGTTGAAGCAAGTCTGACTGCTGATGATACGCTGTATGTCAAAAGCCCCCCACAGTTTCGCTTGTTTTGAATCAATGCTGATAAATTATGCACCCACAGCAGGTTGTGGGGCCAATCGTGTGTATATTAAATAACGTGATTTATTAAGGTTAGGGAAGGATATATGAAGGATACATTGCTTGCTTATCTATTTTGTTAAATATTTGAGGAGGGTCTTGGGAAAAACAAAAATAGACTTGATAACCCACAGACGCTCATTGGCCAAAATAAAGTAGGGTTTTCTTGGGAGCTGGTGGATGAATTGGATTAAGTACGTGAATGATTAAGTTGACTGTTCGGACATCTGTGGAGAGATGATGCAATCAATTCAACTATCATCGGCAAATTATCAAAGTGTTTCAATGAAATCTGCTGCAGAACTTCCCCCCTTGTATACCCATCCAGAGTTATTGTCCTGCAAGTGCCCAGCCCGGCTTCTTTGTACCTATGACGGTGAGTCGAGCCTCTGCCTCGGCGTGGTCTAACTCCGTGGACGCTCTGCACTTGTAGTGGCCAACGTCCTCCTCCGTCACGTTCACGATGGTCAGGCCACTCCCTTCCAGCTCGTGTCTGAGCGCAACGCGAGGGCAAGGCGACAATGATTGTACACGGCACACGCCGATATCAAAACATTTCACGTTAGATGTATTCCAGCTATTGTAATGAGAACGAATGACAATAATACTAATTACAATACTGTCTTATTTATCCATCCTGCTGGGTGGTGCTTCAATTAGGATGCTCTGCTCACAATGAAAAAGTTGGGAGTTAAAATCTTGGCCAGGGCTTGGCTCAGGCTATAATTTACATGGGGTCAATGATATGAGTACCAATTTACAGGATATCTATTGAGATCATTCTAATTACTGGATAGCACCTAACATGGGGATGTGGAATTGTCACGAAGGCTCAGGGCAATGGATATTAGTGGCATTCCATCGCTAGTTTCAGCAGGGAGATACTTTTTTCCCCTAAAAAAATGTCTGTTTTCATCTACAAAGTACTGGGAGCACACTTGTGTGCCCATTGGTTGGTTTGGAACCGTGTCACTGTCCTGAAACCATATCGCATTATATCGATTGGCTGGGGACACCCGAATGGTTGTGGACTGACCTGGGGCTCTCTGGAAGCGGGTATCCGTCATGGAACCAAGAGATGTTGAGGCTCAGGCTGGGGTCGTGGGTGGCATGGCACTCAAACGTAGCAACGCCAAATCGCTGGGCGCGTAGCTCCGATGGGGGCTGCACAATCCGCGTTGGGTCTGTGCGACAAAAATAAAACCACACACGTACGGAGTCATCGTTGCTATCATCACACTTGCCTATGTCGCGACACAAAACATAATTTAACACCATTTATCCCATCCACGGTCAATGCATAATATAATTCATTCCTTGATTCGAATCGCGACCCTGGAGAGCGACAAGTCACCGAATTGGCAGGGGTAGAAGAGACACAGCCATTGGTCTCTAGTGTGCAGCAAAGCAGACAGACCTGGGATGTAGATAAGACTTCGATTCGTGAAATTATCCAAAAAGGCACTCGACTTAGCATGCTCTACTTGCAGTTGCAAGGTTGCTAGTTAAACCCTGTCTGCGGAATGACTTTGCCCATCATCCCAATGGGAGCTGGTAAAATGATTACCACACTTAGTGTGAAGCCACCAGTGGCATTATATGGCAATACATGCTTTTGCCTTTGGGATGATGATTTTCGGACACTCGTTCAGGACTCCTAGTGGAGAAGAGCACCACTTCACACGAACTTGTGCAGGGAGACACTTTGTCTTCGGCTTGTCAAGAGGACCAAGCGCGAGCTTAGCGCTACCGCAATGACAACAGCCGCTATCTGCCACCAATTGTCGGTGAAATCACAACGCTTGCACCGGGCTAGGTGCACTCTCAAGCCACGCCAAGTGTCGAAGGCTCGCCGGCAGGAGGTCACATCATCACCGATTAGCATGGCTGGCTACGTACGGTGCAAAAGAAGTTCAACATACATCAGAATCAGAATCTTTATTTAGACTGGAGAAATCCGATGAGCCATGAAGCTCTTTTCCACAGGTGTTCAGTATGGGCGGGTCTGCACGTTACAATAGCAAACAATAAAAAAAAAACCGATAGGAGTGCTGGCGTCACTGACCCTTGATGAGCAGCCGAGCCAGGCTCTGGTTCTTGTTGAGGTAGTTCTGCACGTGGCACGTGTAGACACCCGCGTCGCCCTTCTGCACCCGCGGGACGACGAGCGTGTCGCTCGCCGCCGAGTCCTGGTAGCGCGGACCTTCCAGCTTCCCTCCGTGGGCGTCCTTGAACCTGTCGCCCACCGCCAAAGAGACCCACACTCAGTCATCGTCACCAGGCACTCACTGCACGCAAAAATTGCTCGCCACAAATGAACCGCAAGACCTCGCTGATCTCGTCAAGGAGCATAAACCATCACGTGAACTCCGGTCATCCTCGCAGCAGCGGCTTTTGGCTAAGCCATCGAACAAAGACGGCCACCGCATCGCGCGCTTTCAGACGCGCTTCTGCGGCCATCTGGAAAGCTCTTCCTTCCGATATTAGGAAGCCAATGGAGCTATGCACTTTAAAATCAAGATTGAAAACGAATTCCTTTAGAACTGTTTTTAGTGTTTAGTTTGCTGCGGGCCGTCAACAACATTGGCCTGGGACCCGAGCCCAGTGTCGTTTATGGATATTCTGGGGAGGACGGTGAGGATGGAGCGTAAGCCATCATCGCGGGACCTCCGGTCTTCCTCGTGGCAACGGCGGATGTAGGCTAGCCGTCGAGCAAGGACGGTCACCGCACCGCGCGCTTTCTGACGCCAGTCCGGAACGCTCTTTCTTCCAATACTAGGAAGCCATTGGGGCTACACACTTTTAAATCATCTAGATTGAAAACTAATCCCTTTAGCACTATTTTTAGTGTTTAGTTTGTTGCCCTTTCCCCACACCTCCGATTAGCACGGTTGGCTACATACAGTGCGAAAGAAATTCAACATACATACATACAATGTTATTATTCGTCATCAGTATAATTTTCATCTGCCATTGTCAATCCACTGCTCGATGAAGGGCCTCCGCAAGCCACCGCTATCTCTCACGATCCAGCGATGTAATAATTAATACACCCGGCACTTGCACACCGACTGATTGTGACGTTTGACTCGCCTCGACGTTACTGCTGCCATTGTTCAGCAGTGCACAACAGGAGATATCGTACAGCACGAGAGGCTGAATACATTTTTTGCGGTGATTTTTTGCGATGATCCACTATCATCTATATTGCATCGCCCATTATGAATCTTAACAATGATAATTATCACCATCATCCGCATACCATTATTCATCATATATTATTATTCATTATCCTCAAGTCAAATGTGAATGAGTGGGATCTATCCGGGCATTATGGTTTTCTTTCAAAAGCAAACAAAACGAATTAGACATTTGTCAAACTTCCCCACTGCCGGTATCCCTGAGCCAACGGTGACAATTATTTATTCTTAACGTAGGATTCAGCTAAATAACAGGAAAACCAAATTAGTGCAACACGATGGCACACATTTTATTAAATCCAGCGGCTGCGCTCATTATTACTGGGAGTTTAATAAGTATAATTATACGTGCACTTAGTGGACGTTGAAGATCCCCTGACATATTTTCACAAGATAAGGCCATTGAGTGTTGTCGTCAAGGCCTAAAGTTTTCCCAATTCAAAGCATTTCCATAGCAACCAATTGCCCCCTATAGGCACACTAATGTCCCAAGTGACTCTAGCAAATTTAGACTATCCTGGTCTCTTGAGCTGCTGAACGTGAACGTAGATCTCAATGCAAGAACCTACAAAACCATTAATAGATATGCACGTCATGAAAAAACTGCGTGCTGGAATTCCACATTCCTATGGTGGGGGCCAGTCTGTCACACAGTACAACCTCTTCAGGCTGCCCACGAAGTGGTACTTATTTTACTTAGCCCATCATCTGTCTGGTCCGAGTCAACCCATAACCAGTATATCCAGAGTGCTTAAAGCCTCTGCTATTGCTGCTACATATGCCTTTGTAAGAGTGTGTGTTGGTAACCGGTCCCGGGCCTCCCCTAGGTCGACTCAGCCTCAAATGAGTACCTGGTGTGGTGTGTAAACATTGCCACTAGGGAGACAAAGGCGGTCGGGCATGGTGCTGGCCACCCACCCCTCGTGTACCGTTACCGGCCTTCATAGGTGCTCGCTAACAGCACTTGCCCCTACAGTCTGTTAAGGCTATATGGGGTATCTTTGTCTTTGTTGGGTGATGGGTGTTAGTGGGGAGCAGTAGGGTTGCGGTTAGCGCGCTGCGCTAAGAACCAGGCCACTCAAGTTTGATTCCCGTTCATGGCCAAATCCCGCGACGATTATCTGAACTGGTCTTGGGCTTCCCCCAGGGCGACTCAGCCTCAAATGAGTACCTGGTCCGGTGTGTAAAAAATATCGCCGCTGGGGACACAAAGACAGTTGAGCGTGGTGCTGGCCACCCAGCCATTTGTGTACCGCGCCGACCTTCATAGGTGCTTGCTAACCGCACTTGCCCCAACAGTCCTGTTAAGGCTATATGGGGGATCTTTGTGTTTGTTTGATGGGTGTTTGGGACGTACCACATGAAGGTGGGCTGTGGGGAGGCGAACACCTTGCACTCAATGTGCACCGTCTGGTTCACCACAGCAGAATATACTTTATTCATTGGTGACAGGATCCTGGGTGGCACAGCTGTAAGAGGTACAAAATGGGCATGTTAATATCCATGTACACAACGCCATACACTGACATATATATAAAAAAAAATTCAAATACAAAAATCTAATGCGATTCAGTCGATGCGAGGCCAACATTTTCAAGATAATGTTCAGGGTTTTAGTGGCCTCATAATTGTACAAGCCAATTAGTGGGCTGGTAAAGCACTGAGGGTTATCCAATGATACTGTGTGGTGCACACCGAGTCTGCACTGTCGTCAATGGCTAGTTATGATCACAACTTAAATCGTGCACAAAAAGTAATCATAAAATAATCAAGCAAACATTCGTGTTCCTAACCCAGAACTGGTGTGTGCGATTTATTACACTCGGATGACCAAGTGCCAACTCTATATCTTTGCACTCTGCCCAACTCTATAGCTCTTCTCTCTCCACACGTGGCAACTCTTAGCTTTGCCACAAGCATCTCTCTCTCTGTCTCGTTAGTGGCCCCTAAAGTAGCGGCGACCACCACTTCTCCATTACCGTGGCAGCGAGTGCTACTTCTTCCCGTGCTTTCATCGGTCGCTCCGTATGCAACCCAAAAATTCAATACAATCTATATTGAAAACTAATTTCTTTATAACTGCTTTTTGTGTTTAGCTTGTTGTTCTTCCCCCGTACCTCCGATTAGCACAGTTGGTTACGTACGGTACGAAATAAGTTCATCATAGATACATACATCGCTGGTGCATTATTGTCACTACCATAGACGGTGATTGACAATGCTATAAAATTTATGCACATGTGTCGTTACGTGTTGGCTATGCACCTGTATCAATTGATGCGCTGGACACCCTCGCAAACAAGAAGTTCCATCTCAAGGGATTCCCAGGTGAAATATTTCCATAAAACAAAATATTCAGTACATATTTTTGCGAGGTGGATGATGATGGTGGTGGTGATAGTTCCAGAAATTGATAACACTGTTATATTTAACCATGGGGTGTTGTGTCGATCCACAACCAAATAATCAGGGTTTTTAATTATGTATTTATTCATATTATTATAAAAACAAAAACATGCAAGGCACATTTGGGTCCATTAGTGCAAAGGCACTACTGTATATAAAAACAGCAATAATAATGATAGCAACAATTATGATGATGGATGGAGATAATTAATGTGATGCTAATGCTGATAACGACGATGATGAGAATGAATGGTCCGTTAAAGTCATGCCGTGTGAGCGCTCAAAGGGAAGGCGGCTCTGACCCAGCACGTTGACGAAGGCATTGCCGAGGATGGAGCCATGCTTGTTGGTGGCCTCGCACTGGTACACAGCGCTCGTCCCCTCGGGCAGGTTCGACAGGATGATGGTGTCACCATCCACCTTCCTGTTCGGGTCGTTGCCAGCTTCTGAAATAAATCAGCAAAAATAACTATTCGAGCCAACGATAATTATTATAAGATGCGTTTTTTTTTTTCCCGACGGTTGTGTACCGCCGCGTTGTTTGTGCACGGGTGTCCGATGTTGTTGTGTTTTCTGTTGTTGTCCACGTGCTGGGAGCTTCTTCGGAGCACGAGCTGTTACTGAAGGAGCTGAATTGCTGGAGCGAAATGTCACAACGCCGTGCCAAGTAACACGCGGTGCCACCTGACAACGCACATCCGAGAGCTATGCAGCGCAATGCTAAAAACCTACGCAGTTGTAAAGAATTATACAAACGAATGCACTATCCGCACGGCCAAGCAGAGAAAAAAGTAGGCAACCTCTTCTCTGAATCCACTCAATTACATCTAAAAATTCCTCGTCACATATCAACAATTCTGAACAGTAAACGATGTTAGATATCGAATTGCAATTCACGAAACGTGACCGACTGGTTTTAGAAATGTATATTCAGGCAACAAGATTAATTGTTGTTTTAAAACTCGCAACTTTTAGCCTCGCTCTACTGACAGAGCACTTGACACACATTCATAAAGTCGAGGGTTCGCATCCTAAAGTTGGGTCAACTCGGTCCATCATCCCGACTGAGTCAATAAAATAAATAAAGTACCGCTTTGTTGAATGTCGGTCGTGGTTGACCGATAGAAGACAGTTCCCTATATTCGGAATGTCGAATTTCTATCACTGGCTTATGGTGGATGGTGTTGCGCAACACCCACTGCTGTTGTACATCAAGGTCAAGAGGCTGTGATGTGAAGGCGACTCGTCAGGTCGGCACACGTTGCCATCACTTACTTCCTTGCCGCGAGATCCTATAACGATCGCAAACGTTACACCTGTCCTCCAAAGTGCACTCTTACAGGCTCATTATCCCCAGTGTCTGGCTTTAAGGTCTTCCTCTTGGTCACCGACCTCCGGGTCCCACCGAAGTAGACCAGCACCGGTCTCGGTGATCTGCCCTCCTCGATCCCATCTTACGGACGCTCCCCACACTCATCACCATCGTTCTGATGACATCTTACTGGTGGCTTCTATTGCCCCCACTCGTTGCTACTCTTCGCGGTGAACGTCACTTGCCTTCGATGGGCCCTCCGTTGAGGAGCCAGCGAATCGATGGCTTGGGGTTGCCGGTAGCGCGGCACATAATGGTCGTCTGTTCGCCCGGCTGAACCACGCGGCTCTCCGGGCCTCCCGTGAGCCAGTAGGGGGCGGCTGTGTCCACACACCACACACACCACACACAACAGGGGGAGAACGGTTAGGAGGAGTTGGTCGAGCACAATAACGCGGCGATTTCACAAATAAGGCGACCTCACATTTCTAAGTCATGGTAATAATTACATTGACTGGCCAAAATATAGACATTACAGCGAGTCGTGCTTGGCTTAGCTAAGCAATCATGGTGCCAGTTAAACTCCCTGTTGACATCGACTGAAATCATAATTATTAATATTTGGGGCCAGTAAAATGAGTGGCACTTTCCGGGACATTAGCTGTGGTCGTCCTCTAGAGAGACTGTCTCCTACCATAGGAATCTTGAATTTCCACTGATGGCTGAAGGCCACCAATAGTGATCAGCGCCGCCGAATGCTCATACCATCACGGAGACACTTTTATTTAACAATTCTCAACACATTATCACCACGGAATTATTATTAACGTGGGACCTTTTTCAAGCAAGCCTCAATGCGCGAAAATAAAATTCGTATTATCAATATAATGGAGTGAAGCATTATACATCCAATGTGCCTTTACATTCACTGTAAATGTAATGTATATTATACATCCTTATCAAGTGGCTCACACGCTGGTATTCCAGCACTTTGGGGGAAGGATTGGTGAATTGGCCGCAGGGTGGCCAGCGATTTCAACATCATCCTTTAGGGCAGGGGTCGGCAACCTATGGCTCGCGGGCCAGATGTGGCTCTTTTGATGACTGCATCTGGCTCGCAAATAAATCTTAGCTGACATTTCTTTAGTTGTATTCAGTGTTAAAAAATATTATATGGCTCTCACGGAAATGTATTTTAAAATATGTGGCTTTCATGGCTCTCTCAGCCAAAAAGGTTCCCAACCCCTGCTTTAGGGGGATTAGTGATGGATTAAATTGAACCTTAGCTGCACAGCACGACCCCATACATTTCCGTGACTCCTTTAACGAGGCATGGCCATTGACTCCCAGTACATTTTGATGACGGCATCAAAAGTGTTCCATCAAACAATGGTGCAGTTTGAAACATTTTAAATGGGTAAAATTCTTAGAAACGCGGTCGGTCACATTCTTCCGATAAGAAGAGTGTTTGATGTACGTTTTGACATTTTCGCTGCTGAAATAAGAGTCCGCAGAGATGTGATACCTGTCTTACGAAGTGAAACAGTGGTTTCATCATCTTTTGAGTCCATGAACAGACTGTTTGAGGCTCTTGACCTTTGTTGTCAAACGTTTTCATGTAAATAAATCAATTGAGGAAAGCTTCGCCGAGTCTCAAAATGATATATGTATACAAAAAAATGGTTTTGCGTTGGATGTACGTTCACTTCATTGTTGATGTTTATCTTGCGTGGGAGGAGACTCCAATTATGCGTGAGAAAACCCATGTACGTATATGTTGAAACGAATAATCAAACACCACGCACCTATGTCATCAACCTACTATTTGTACTGACATGTGGCCTATCTCGTAGCTCTATAGGTTGGAAGTCTGATAATATTTTCACGATCCACCAACTCTGTTTCTGAAGCGCTAGATTAGAAGCATGCACCATTGCTTTGCAGAAAGTCAAAAGTGTGTGTCCTATGTGGGTTATAAGACTCGTTCCAACCGTGGGAATATGGAATTTCCACAAAGCTCATTGCCCTGCAAGCGGGTGTCTCACACAGTCAATGGCTCCATCTTTGCATGATCCGCCGACCCCAATGCCACGCGACTTGATTACAATTCGTTGGGCACCTCTCACCCAGCTGTGCTATGGTTGGAGCATTGCCATCAGCCATGAGGCTGTGAGTTTCAACTCCTGGTTTTGGTACGGAGACACTTCACTGAATAAGTACTCATCAGGGCGCTATTAAAATAAGTACCACTTTTGTGGTAGACGGGCTCTATATAGATATCCCGAGTCGACTGTTCTCCTGCCAGCTGTGGCATGAGTAAGACATCGCAGGGCTACGCACGTTTGCGAGAATTCAACACTGGACATCTTCAAGACATACCAAGCCCCGACCATGAGAATCTGGACTTTGCCAATGCTAGCTATAGGCCACAAATGGGAGTTCAGCACTTCCCAGTTGGTCATTAAAAGAGGAAAAAAAGTTAACTTTCGATGGCCATCGCTACTGGTAAACCCACTGAGCTGGCGAATGAGAACCGGCAGCGCACCTTCGATGGCGACGGTGGTCGTGTGCCTCTGGACTCCCAGCCGGTTGGAAGCGAGACACACGTAGTTGCCGTCGTCGCCCTCCGTCACGTTTGCCAGAATGAGCGTCTTGTTGAAGTTGAGGAGCTTCGCGCGCTCCCACGGCATCTCCGCGCCAGACTTGAACCACTGGATGCGTGGCGTCGGCCTGCGGTTTGGACAAGGGGATGCAGGATGCAAGGAACAAGACCACCGTGAGGGTACGGTAATGTGCCGCCTAATACAGGATTGTGCGTAACGATCTGTTGTTTTCAATCAGTGGAAAGACAGCTGTTTTAATCGTGGATGTGTGACAATGTTTAATTGACCAATGAGCCTTTCAAACCATTCTTTTTCACTACGATGTTTTAATGCCATTTACCGCATCCCCATAGCGAGCCAAACCTATCCGCGAGGTCATCAGGAGATGGCAGAGCAGCTCTGGAATCCAGAGCTTAACTGCGCGGCGATGTTAGTATTACACACAGGGATCGACCCCACGACCTCCTGCACACCAGGCGAGCTCGTTAGCACCTCGTTAACATCTTTCCACCGCGGTAACCCCTCTATGTACGCTCGCGTGACAGCTGCTGCTCGCTCGTGTGGCGCAGTGCGATGGCATACAGGCCGGCTGCGATGCACTCCAGGCTCAGGACGTCTCCTTTGAGCACCATCTTAGTGCTGGAGGCACCGACGGGAGAGAGGAAGCGCGGAGGGTACAGATCCACGCGGCTCCCTGTGCAGCCACCACACGACACAATGTATTTATACAGAGACATACGCGTGCATACAAGTGTACACACATACACAAGTGTAAATACACGTGTTTGTAAGCATGTGTGTTCTGCGCTTCTGCGGCCGTCTGGAACAAGCTCGTGTGGACACATTCACGCAGATGTACACATACTCATATGTGCACACACACAAGCTACATATGCACATGCATATACACATACGCACCAACATGTGCGCACACTCATGGATCAACACATGTAGTTAAAAGCGTGAACACACATACATGTATGTATATGTGTATACTTTAGATATTTGTGAGTATGCATGTGCTTATGCATGCACGTGTCCGTGTCCATATGCTTGTGTGTACACGTACGATGACAGGAGCATATCGTTTAACATTTTAAAACAGATGAACGCAGCCCACCTAAGTCACATGTGCCATTACGGCCACACACGAGTATTCAAGAAGCATTGAATGGACGCGACTTGGTCGGAAGGAAGGTTTAGAGTGATAAGGTTAGGCCGTCAATAAATTAAGTAAATAAAAGCAGAAAAGCAGCAGAGACCAACGCAGCTTAACCAAGTTCAACAGCACGAAGCGCAAAGAATGAAATAAAACAGACAGATCCTTCGTGATTCACCGTGCACTCCCTATAGTCACGTGCTCACTGGCTTCCATGTGGATCAACGAATGATAACTAATCATCATTATTCTCATCAGCCATGGTCAATCCACTGCTTGATGAAGGCCTCCCCACAAGCTGCTACCACCTCTCACGATCCTGTGATGTGACAAACTATCCAGCAGCTGCCAAGAGTTGAACTGAGTTGTCAAGTAATGTACCATGTAATCTTTTAAACAATGATTACCATGGTCTTAGCTGTGGCGATTATTTAATATATATATTTTTATGAATTTGGGTATGTATAGTGATATTAATGATTGCAATTGACAAAAAGGTTAATGTTGTTGGAATTTTAACGAGATATATTAATATGAGATATATCCCACTCGCAGATCCTCCTGAATAGGAGTTTTAAGACTCAGTGAGACTTTCATGAATAAATATAAGGCATTATCATTCGCATTGCTTTCTGAATTATATCAAAATAAATGACACATCGGGGGATTTTCTCATTTGAAATGTCAGCAAAGCAGCGTTCTATTAGCACAGATAATGACTCTGTCACGAGGCGGCGTTTATGAGACAGAGCTCATTGCTTTGCCATTACAAACTTAGGGCAGATAAACACCCCCATGGAACCGATTTGAGGCAAAGGAGCGTGGAAACTGAGCCACTACATTAGCAGAGGCGAATAATACAATACCATTCATTTCGAAAGGAAATAGGTTTTAATATTGCATGATTCACACTCTTAATTTCAACACTGCCGGTTCGCGGCATGCTGGGATATTGTATTTGATATCGACGGCTGAAAACACAGATTTAAATTTGTTTATAATCTGATACTGGGGCTATATATAGATACAAAATTACCCAATTACACAACCCTTGAAAGGTGATTCATTATAAGCAATTGCTGTTTAATTTGAATTGTCTCAATTACACAAATTATAAAGAGCCAATATAATTTAATTAAGTCCACGAGAATCATTAAAATCTCCCTCACTTAAAGTTGAGCTTCATTGTGTGTCTGAATAGTTCAAAGAAAATAATTATTTCAAGTTTTTTTATACCGTAATCGGATCATTTCCCCATGGGCAATGTTCATTTCCATTGGTGATGCGGAGCCAGTGGTGCAGTATATGACCGCTTTGGAATACGTCGAATTTGGTACACGTCGTGTTTTGACGAGAAACAAATGTCTTGGGATATGACGTCTTGCGTGGGATATGACGTCTTGCTAGAACTTGTATGGGTCGGGATGAGTCGCCGCGTCTCCGCAAAGACCCCGTTCACGACTCAGACAAAGCGCCGCTCATCAGTCTGCCTGTAGATCTCGTTCAGTGCACAACCCTTGCTGTAACTTGTAGGCTATCAACTCCTCTCAGCAAGGTAAAGTGATGTTAGATTTCATTTTTTATTTAAATTTATTTTAATTTATTTATGCACTTATTTTAATGTACGTATGCATTTTAGTAATAAGTAGTGTCTACATTATTTTATACAACCACATTCATGTATAATATTCCATATAAAATATAATTTCTTATACTCGTGAACGGATTATTTCCTTTCCATTTATTTCCTATGGGAAAAATTAGTTTGGTATTCGTCACTTTCGGTATAAGTCCTCCTACCTTCTGGAACGAATTAACGACGTATACCGAGGTACCACTGAATGTACTTCAGAGGCAGGGACCAGAGTATCTATCCATGGTATAACCACTGTTGGTTTTCTACAATGCGGTACTTCATTGTATTGACACTACAGGGGAGGTTGTCTAAATCACCCACAACTGGCCTTTGCCTTTCTGAATGTGAGGTGAGTGATTTAACTACAGTGCCACTTGGGCAGCTCTGTGCATGTGTACTTTCTTACTATTCTTGTTTATCCAGGGAAGCTTCACCGAGTCTCAAGATTATTTTTCATAAGGGTCCTGATAAGTTTTTTGCAGTATGGGTCAATGTTGCCGAGTCTCATTTAAATCGAGCCATTTGCAGGTAATACGGCCCGTTGGGCTTTTTAATCTGCCCCGCCGAACTTGTCCAAATATTATTATTTAATTAAATTTTACCTTTATCCTGTAATGCCCCCATTTCCCCATTAGATGGCGCACTTTGACCGGGAGTTACGACATGTTTTTTTGTATTGTTCATGTTCGTGCAATTTGTTAAATTGCCTTGCAAATACATGCTTTGCTACCTGTTAAAGGCCAAATCCTTTCATGTAATGATTTTTACATGTCATTTATATTAGTTCACACAAACACTCCATCCATCTGTTCCTGGCCCAGCCCCTCTGTCAAATTTTAGAACCCATTGTGGCCCGCAAGTCAAAAAATTTGCCCAACCCTGTTCTAACTCCACGTATAAAGGTGTCCAAGTCAGGAATTGAACCCAGGAACTTCTTGAGTCACGAGTGTTGCAACTGGGCCACCCTGGGCCACCCTGGGCAACCCTGTGCCACCCTGGGCCACCCTGTAAAAAGTATATACTACGTGTATATACTGTAAATGCACGCGAATATCTGGCATAAGAATAATTACATTATTATGGAAAACTTAATATATATTAATCATGTAGAAATGAAATATGATATTATAATGACAAAATGTCATGATTGTTTTCTAAAAGTGAAACAATGGTGAACATAAATGCACACACAATTCACTTGGACATTATTGCAAAGCGTGATGGAATCACAAATGGGAATACTCATTCGATCAGCCTGGAGTTAACAGAAGCAATGTATAGAATTGTCTGCAATGCCAATCACGCAAACTCTTATGTTGCAAAACAATGGTACATTTATACAAAACTAGCTCGAAAGTATCATTGCATCTCAGTTACACGAAGTTAGATTGCATCTATGTTTCACTTTTTGCCATCTCAGCCATCTCAATCTAATTTCATTTCACAAATCTAATGCATTTGGTAATTGGGAACCTTCATGGTGTTATACATTATTAATGGAGCAACTATAGCAGAGTATAGTCAACGTGTTTTGCCTAATAAATGGAGCAATAAGTAACACTGATCACTACTGGCAGTCCTAAGCAAGCAGTCTAAATTCCATATTCCTATGGCAGGAACAATTTCTTCCTCTTGTAATTTCCACACAGTGGCACTGATCGCCTATTACTGCTTGTATATTGTAATTAAATTGTAATAGTATATGTATATGATGTTGGCAATGTCAAATCTGTTAAAATGCCTACTCAGTACTATTGAGTAATTTTATTTCAATTAACTTGTTCATAAATTAATCTTTTGCAGTTTTAATCAGTTCCACTTTGCTTGTTTTGTGATTCCTACTGCCAAAGGAGCTTAAAGCCTGCACAGTGGAATGGAGAAAAGATGACAGATAAAAAATTTTAGGAGGAGATTAGCGTTTGTTTACAGATTTAAAAAAGTTTAAGAAAAAGAAGAATCTGTTCATTACTTTTCATGAAAAAAAAAAACTCACCACCATTTATGTCAGCATCACTGGCATTAGCAGACTCTGTATCATTACTGGCATCAACTGAAAAAAAGAAAATTCACACACAAACATGCATGTCCAAAAAAATAAAACAAACACAGAGATGAGTTCATGCAGTTATTGCCTTACATGAGCAAAGTAAATCGTGAGACAGAAAAGCAAGCACACAATGGTAACACGACAAAGTGATTTCCTGCTAAATTGAGCATGGAGGCCGTGCCCTTCTTCTGTTCACAGCCCTGAGCCAGTGGTGAAAATGGAATATTCCTCTGGCGGGGGCGAGTAGAGCCATCGAACAAGTAGAGCCAACCGCACAAACGGGTACCGGTTTTAATTAATCCAATGGGATAATGGGCCGAGCCAACCCCCTGCCAGGATGTGAACTCGCAGTCTTCCGATCTCGAGCCAACTGGGTCTGATTCCAGGAGCTTGTTTAGTAAATAATCCTTCCAAGGATGAAATATTGCCAATTATTAACGTCTTTGCCAGCCCTGACAAGCTATGTAATTAGCCAACCAAAATTATGTCAGGTCAAAGGGTAATGTTTCTCAATGCCCATATGGCATTGAGAAACATTGTTGAAATTCAATATCTCCTTGGTAGGAGCAAGTCTCTTCATAAAAAAAAAACACTGGTTACTTCCCATAAAGTGGTCCTCGTTTTATTCACCTTTGAAGGATAATGCAGGGCTCAGTTGACCTTTTGCTAGCATTTGAACTTTCAACATTCTGATCGTTGAGTGCTCTCAGCACACGACCAGCGGGTTGGAGCACTTATCCATTTGCATTCGTCATATGCAAGACTGGGTTATAATTTGAGGCTTTCAATATCTCAGTGTAAGCTGGCATTTGCCGCTGATTTAATATTCACTCAAGCTATGGAAGAGAAAAGAAAGTCACTAATTGTAGGCGGTCAAACATAATAGTGATCGTGAATGCATCTGAGCATGCTAGCAATGAGCAATCGCTTTACAAGTCTATAATGAGTGTGCAATGCTTTGTGGAATTAATTCTGCTTGACGAGCATGCTATTATATTTCAGTTTTTGTTCCCTTGTTTTCTGGTTGCCTAGTTGTTAAGCGCGATTGCCGCTAGGTTATAGGCCCTTCGGTACAGATTTGACAACAATCTCCTTGAAATATCCAAAAGAAAGGGCCGCTTGGCAATTCGAGTTGGACTTTTAGGATCCGGTAATGTGGCTCTCGGGCATAGTCCATTGCGTGTCGCAGTTGTGGCCATTTTTGGCAAATAAATATTCCACAAATAGGACTATCCTGAAATAGTCAAGATGACTGAACGAGGAATGGACATTCAAGGTTGGACAATCAAGAGGTCATATTCTTGGTTCTTTCGGTAAAGTCACGTAAATAAAAAAAGCAAAAACCCACGACGTTTTGATCGCAACACAAGCGGTCTGCATCAGGCACTTTTCTCTCCACCTCATGAAGACCGCTTGTGTTGCGATCGAAACGTCGTGGGTTTTTTGCTTTTTTATTTTTATATTTACGTGACTTTACTGAAAGAACCAAGAATATGAATTCCTGCAGTCATGAAAGTTTTAAGTCTAGATGAAGAGGTCGCCGCGGTTACCGCTGCTGATGCCACAGCGCCTTGTTGTTTCTGTGCTCCTTCTGCCAGGATTCACAGCCCTTGCAGAATGGACATCTGACATCCAAGATTTGCTCTTGCAGTCCAATCATCACCATTTGCTCACAGGTTTTCCCTTGACTATCGCCCTTTCAACACCCACTCCAATGCATGCCTTGGTAACCTGCTCTCCTCCATCCAGCAGGCATGGACCAAACCACAGCGATCTCATCTTTCCACTTTACATTGCCAAATGCTCTCCTATCATATTCTATTCTCAACCTAAGAGTTGCTCACCCTATTCAGCTAAAAATGTTTTAGCATCATCTGCATGAATCTATATTAAAAGGTCTCGCATCCTCGCAGTGGGCATTTCCATTTATTATCGTGGAGAGCATCCTGGATAAAGCAAATATAATCACCTTCCCGTGGCTGATGGACTAAAGGGTGTTTGGTGTTTATATGGAGATACAGAACGGAAATTGATTTGTTTAATATATTACAGCCGTTATTGCGTGTAATTAACCAATAGGGACTACTTAGGCTGCTCCTGCCACTGTAAGGAATGCACACAATGGCTGAAGAGGAAATTAAAAACAATCGTAAGCCTGAGTTTATCTTAATAACGTAGCACCAGCTCAACAGGGGGCCTCGAGCCAGAAACCTCGGCTCTGAACACGCTCGGTCATCGACCCAGCAGCCACTGTTCTGTTCTGGCACGAAATATACACCAGAGTAAGAGGAATGTTATGTGCCCATTGCATAATGTGTTCGATGTCTATAAACAGCAACGGTTCTGAATATTCGCTTTCAGCCACTTTTAAAGCATGTCCGTTTCAAGAGGTTACGGTTATGAATGCAAGCATTCTTCTTGAAGCGTTAAGTAATTCGGTCACTATCTGTTGGCCTGATTAGTACCATACACGTGTGTACGGCTGGGGGATATGCCGATTTTGGCAGAGCAAGGTGTAGTACTGAGGCTGGAAATCAGGGACTTGGGAGTTGAGATTTTCAAATGCTACGTTGATGGCCTTGTTTAGGATTGAGGCTGCTTGTACCAGCTGTCAGGAGGAGATCAGAACCTCGAGGTCGTAGAGACTGTCTGTATTTACGTGGTAATGCTCATAACGCAGGGGGTTGTGAAAAGGGGGTCAATGGATGTATTGCATTATAAGGGTGGGCTATATTCTTAGTTTTTTCGGTAAAGTCACGTTGAAGACTTTACCGAAAAAACTAAGAATATGAATTACTGCAGTCACGAAAGCTTTAAATCAAAATTTAAGGGTGGGCTATTTAAGGATTACATTAGCCACTTTGAGAGAGTAGTGAGGTCAACTTTAGTATTAAGAGAAGGGTGAATTTTGTTTAGTTGTACTGCATTGCTCAGAGATTTGAACTTGGATACAGGTGCGTATGGAGGAGGCTAGGCATGTTATGGTAGGCTAGGGTGAGAAAGATATACGTTTATCTAGAACGTGGAAAGAAAATGTTGCAGATGTAATTGGGAAGAGGAGGTTGCGATGGGTGCGACACGTGTGCAGGATGGAGTGGGTGAGGTTACCGAAATGGGCAATGGAGCGGCACCCAGAGGTTGGCGACCACGGGAATGATCTAAATCCAGATGGAGGTGGCGATGAAACAGTTGTTTGGATAAAGAGCGGACTTTGAAGATTGGGAGCCAACTCTTTAATGGCTGCATGACCTGGCAGAAGGAAGAAAAGATTCCATGGTGCATGTGGTGGCATCTATGGCATTGGCTGAGACCTTCTAGATTTGAAGCTTTCGTGACTGCAGGGATCCATACTCTTTGGTTCTTTCGGCAAAGTCACTTAGGTAGAAAATAAAATAAATCACGACGTTTCGATTGCAACACACGCGATCATCATCAGGTGGGAAAACCACTTCAGCAAAAAATTATTGCTGTGGTTTTCCCAGGAGGCTTGTGGAGACTCCCAATTGACCGCATGCGAAGGCACCGATTGACTGACTCACTCACTCGAGCGGCACGCTGAGCGAGGGTCGAGTGACTGGCACGTACCTGGCTGCACCGTCAGCTTGATGGGCTGCTTCTGCTGGATGGTCTGCGTGTACACGAAGCGAGCATAGCAGATGTAGTCATCGCGCGCGTCTGATGCGCGCACGTTGGAGAAGTAGAGGTCCCCGTTGAGGCCCTGGGACACGCGCTCGTCCTGAGATAGCCTCTGCAAGACTGCAGACGGAGACACCGACAAACATGCACGTAAGTGTGGTACATTAGGAATGGACCACTCTTTTAACTATTTCCTTGTGAAGCAAGGGAATAACGTGTGGTTCCGTGAAAGTCCTGATGCAGTACATCGAGGCATGTGTGTACACCAGAATACGATAACGGAGCTGGGCCTGTAGGGGGCTGGCAGGGTTATTGATTAACCGCACTTGTACACCAGTCACGTGGTTAATGGCGACTCGGTTGAATTGCTGTGTGTGACACACGTGCTGTTGCATCTTACAAATTCATCACAATAAATGTGTTTGCCCTCGATTTAGAGCACCTGCCCACGTCCTTCATTTCGAGTGTGCAATTTAAGCTCAACAATAACAACTGCCAGTCGCCAGTAAGTGGTGGTGACGTCACCATGGCACCTGTGCTAGGTTATGTGCACTTTAAGGCCACGTGAAGTTTCGAATGCCCACTGGCAGGTCATGGGACAGACCCAGGTGCCATGGCTTCACTGACTGAGATGACTGATTGATGCACCACCTGTGCCCCCAACTATGCTAACTTGCTGTGTTTTATCTGCCCGGTGCTCTGCTCATTGTTGTGAACATCGTTTTTCTGATCTTCGTTTTTCCTGGAGGGGGTCTGCCTCCAACTGCCCAGTAGCGCCCTTCACGAGCCTCCTCCACAGAGGCCGATCTTGAACACCGCTGGTACCAGTCATTGGCAAGTCCACTCAGCTCCATATCCTCTCGTACCGCATCATTCAATATCTTTTTTAGCCTGAGCCACGCCCGTTTATCCCCCTCTATCCAGCCAAACAAAAGCTTTTTGGGCATGCGGTGGCTGGACATGCGAGCTACATGACCCAGCCATGTATGCTCAGACAGTCAGACACAAACGTTCAGACATTCAGACACAACGACAACAGTCGCCATTATCCACAAAGTGACATAACCACAGCTTTTGTACCAGGCTAGGTGCACTGAGGTCATGTGACGTGTGGAAAGCTCGCTAACAAGAGGTCATGGGACATGACCCGGGTGTTATGCTCTGACTGCCTGGCATGACTGGCATATACACCACCTGTGCTAAATTATTGTTTAACCTGTTGTTAAACGATTTACTTTGCTTTGACAACAACAACAACAAAAAAAACATTTTATATACAGTCAATGCAAGCCACACATTAACGTTGCCACTTTTAATTAAATTCTGGCTACACCGAGGGGTGGGGGGGGGGGGGAGGTTCTCTGAGAGCCACGTCGAGAACGTCAGTGTCGGGCTCACCGTGGTCCATCCAGAAGATGACGGGTAGCGGGATTCCAGGTGGGGGGTTGCAGGGCAGCACAGCTGACGAGCCCTCCTTCACCTGCACTGGGTCGATCACCTCCTTCGGCCACAGAGGAGACCCTGGGTTAACACAAGAGCACATGAATGAGCGACTGGCATTCTTTGAAGGTACGGTTGCTGCGGTCTTTTTTTTGTTTTGTTTTGTTTTAACAAGGGCTGGGTATTTTTTGATCGCAAGTATGCATTCAGTGAGAGTATGCCCGTGCCCATATGAGCATAGTTCAGATGTCTTCTGTTTGGAAATTTAGCCAGCGGGGCCACATTCCACATTCCCATGGTGGTGGACAGTCTACTTGTGGCATTATCACTGTTGACCATCCGCAATTTAGTACTCGTTTACCAACCGCGGAGGGACGATGACCAGGGTTGACCATCTCCAGCTGACAGTTGAACTTGTGTAACTTCATAATTACGATTTAAGTGAATCTCTTACGATTAAGGAACTGCAGCAAAACACTTTGCTCGTCGTTGAAAGCTTAAATTCCAGTTTGGAGGTCAACATAGCTCGTCATCAGCATCACGATTGAATTAGCTAATTGAGTAGCACTTTTTGGGATGTGACCAGTGATTTTAATATGGAAATACTGGGCTCCACCATAGGAGTGTGGATTTTCCACACCTGGCTCAGGGGCACAAACAGAAATAACCACTGCTGCTTGCTCTTTTGAGCAGTGAGTTTCTTTGACTGTGATTTTAAACCACGTTTAATAGGCTTCACACAAAAAAACTACATTCACAAAGAGACATCAATCATTAATTTGACTACAAAGTTAGCACCTTTCATGAAGGGTTTATTGTGCCCTTCCTGTGTTCTGCAAGGGAACAAGACAACTGACTTAGCAGTCCATCTAGTAGTTTTGAGAAGTAAAATGCCCTCTCATTTTTTATACAAACCCAATGAATGTTTGCTATATTTACATCTTTATGCCACCATAACGTGATTAAAAAAGATCGCATAGCTTGGCATTCAATCTGTATTTTTAATTCAGTTGGCGGCACAACCTGACGAAAATTCATCTTCGATTGCTGCGAGCTGAGAGAGGGAGGAAAGTTTCAAAAAGAAGCGTGTGACACATTTGGGCAAAATACGTTTGGGGACCCAAAAAAGGGCTGCGATTTGGCCAAGCACAGCTGTAGCTGAATTGCAATCGCCAACAGTTTCCACCCTTCCCATGAAGCCTATCCTACTTGCGAAAAAAGGCATTTCACAACGCGCGTCTCTCGTTGCACCCGATCAAACAATGGGACCGCTGAGAGAAAAATCACAGGGCAGGTGTTGGCTCGTTGGCCACTCCGGTGGTGATGCTATCGCCCGTAGGGGTCAGCGCCCCCTTCGTAAAGGCGAGGCCACGTTGACAGCTGGCGCTACACGACAAAGCGGGGGGTGGGGGGGGGGCTGCCGTAATTGGCACAATGCATTAAGGCACACCATGTGGCAAAAGCAGAGGAGTGGAAAAAGGAGCGACGCCAATGAAAAAAACAAAGTCGGAATTGGAACACCAGAGGGCAGTGATTTCCACAGGAGGCTTGGTTTTACAGGTACCTTCTCTTAAACGTTGCAGAAGCAAGTTGATGCCTTACGTGGGAAGAATGCAAAATATAAATACAAAAAGAACAAAGAGAAACGAAAAACATAAGCAGAGACGTATGAAGTGAAAATCAAGACGAAATCATATGCGCACATAAACAATACAGGTCTTAGTTCTGTGGTGAAAAATAAATGTATCCAAAATCATACTCGTTTGAATGAATTACAACAATAACTAATCCTGACAGTTGGTGGTGTTTGGAGAGAGCTGAACTCACAATTGGAAGGCTGCGAGCACCAATGGCAATCGGAGGTCAAATCGGCCAATCATGTCATCAGGGACAATAAGATGTACACCACTTTGTTGCGAGTCAGCATTGGTTATACAATGAAAATGCAGAGGTCCTCTCTGTATAAATGTGTGTTTGAGCAGGGACACAGTTTAGTCTGTAATTCGAATCCACCGATTTGAGCACCAACGTATGGGTCTTAATGTTGACCCACAACGCAGAGATGATGCCACCAGATACCATGGCATCTCTAGACAATGATTGCCAAGTTGTAAAGCCTTTTGTCGAGCAAGGCCAAAGCAACTCGGTTCAATCCCATTACAGGTGGCTGGCTCTTGTGAACATTCCAATACGTTTGAAATCATATGCAGCCAAGTTATTTAATCTCCCTGCTCAAACCAGCATTTGGACAGTGCTCCTTTCCATTGGTGGCCCTGAGCCAATTGTGCCAATTCCACGATATCATGGTGGGAAGCAATATATCCAGATAATAATGACTGCTGACTTTCCACGAAGCCTGTACTTACATTAGTTACATCAGAAGGATACAAGGCTGAGTCAACTCCCGACTGGGTTTGAACTCGCAACCTTTCATTTGTGAGCCATGCGTTCAAACCATGGCGCCAACCAGTTAAGGCGTCACGGTGGCAAGACGTTGGTATAAAGGAGGTCGCAAGTTCCATCCCGACCATGACGCCTGTATATATGGACTTTGCATGTTTTCCTCGTGTGTCGTATAGATTTTTCTCTAGTCCCTCCGGGTGTTTCCCTCCACATGTAGAAACATGCGTTAAGAGTATTTGGCATGTATACATTTCCACGTGATGAAAAGCCACTTCATTGAGCTATCATTTGTGGCCAGGTCGGTTCTGAAAAAAGAGCTGTATAGCTCAGTGGGCTTACCTGATCAAATAAAACAAAATTTCGTTTCGTTCATAGTTTTAAGTGGAACTGTGAAGAATGATATTGGACCATTCTTGGACAACGCTGGCACCGGCAAGACAAATAGACCATACATACGTAATTAGATAGTAAAGAAATGCTGTACTTTTTGATGAGCAGAATGAAGAGTATTATTTATTGCGATATGGAGAATGGGCAGTGTGTGTAGAGCTGGGTGTGCTAGTGCGTGTCTGTGATGCAGTGCTGTGGATGTAGGTGCTGGTGGATCATAAAAATGCATGAAAGTCCCAAAGGTGCTTGACTGTCAGGTGGCAGTCTGACAAGTGAGTTTTTTTTAAACCCACTTTAGAATATGAATTTGCATGTGTGGGTTTTCTCTGGGTACTCATTTCATTGCACACAAAGAAAAACTATCCCTAACATATATTTGGCCAAACATCCAAATACGGAACCCTCCCGACTCACTCATTAATTCCTGGAAAAGTTAATTAAATAGTATTTGCACACTGCCTGGTCCCCATAGTCTAGAAGTCCCTTTCCCCAGCTTGCAGTGCTTGTTGACTCTGTCCCTGTTCAAGCCGATACTCAATATCTTCTTCTTTACCTCTGCCTATCACCGACTGACTTCCCCTTTCCTCTCTGCAATATAAATATGCCAACTGTTCCTATGCAGTGTCTTGGTCACATGTAGATGCGATATACATTATAATTGAAATGGTCTGGCCCACAAGAGTTTGAATTCCAGCCTTGGATAATATCGACCAACAACAGCGGTCAGTGATATCTGAACCGTTGCTGAGAAGGCCTCCGAACGCCAAACATCCAACAACGACACTGACCAGCATGGCAATGCATGGCCAAACGACTCCCAGAGCCAAGAGATGTGGGGAGGCCCTCATCCAGCAGTGGATTAACAAAGGGCTGCAAATTATTATAATTACTATCGCAAACATAAATGTTCTGGGTCAGTCATGCGCTAACCAATTGAGCCACGTTGGTATCTCTGATTACCGTACTCAGTAAGTGCATCTTTATGGACACCAATGTGTCATCTACCACCATGAAATGAAAACTTCTGCTATTGCAATCTCGCAAGGATTTATGTTATGGATAAGTGCCCGCATGGTTAGAAAACAATATGGCCCGGTGCGGTTGTTTTTTTTTTGCCACAGTGTTCTGTTTTTATCACTTACTGGGAATCTATATTTTACTCTATTTCAACATATATTGCTGGTGAGTTCATAACAATATAGATGATATACGTATGCACGTAGATACTCCGCGAATAAAAAAATGTGCACGTGTAAGGTTTCCATGGCAAATATAAATGCATTCAACTATAAATTGTCATGGCAAATGTCATACTTTGGTAAATGTGTTTTTTATCATTACATATATCATGGTTTGGTCATATTTTTAAATGCTTTACAGCATTAAAAAAAAACTATTTAGGCAACCACTTATTCATGTTTAGTCTGGCCATGTTTAGCTGATAAAGTGCTTCTCATGGGTGTACAATTAAGTTGACATTTTCAGTTAAGGGACCATAACGCTGCTTTGTGATAAATTACCACTTTTCTTTTGGCTCGAGAAATAAGGATCCAATCAAGAATGTTACGATCGTTAATCAACAGATGCGTTTACTGTTTTGTTTGTATATTAACCAGAGCGTGGCCTCTCTGTGCGCTCTGTAAAAGGGGCGTTGCATAAAATGTCACCAGGTGTCGACCGTTTTAAGGCAGCGCTGACGAACGTGTTTGCGTTCTTACAAGTAGCACGACTGCTATTCTTAGTAGTTTAATAGCACGAGAGCTATTATTGCAAAAAATAATAATAATCAGACAATATTTTTTCTTCACATATCCATCTCTCCATGTAAAAAATATGTTATATATTTATACAATATACCTGTATATCATATGTATGTAATGTATATTTATATGGTATATATATTTTATGTATCTTTGTTTACACAACTCATCAGCCGCACACTCTGCTGAGAGTGCATAATTTCAGCAGCGCTGTTTCAAGACAAGCACAACTGTGAAGCGGTTTCCAGCGACAGTGTCCCTTCAGCAGAATTTCGCTTGCACTACTCAATACTCATGAACTACCGCTCTTAGAGGCTACGAGTATTAGTCACTTTGTAGCAGCAGTGCCGCTGGTGTGAGTAAGCGAAATGTCGCGGAGGCTGTAGCTGCTGCTGCTGCTGTGCGTGTGTGTGTGCACGTGCGTGTGTGTGCACGTATGTGTGCGTGTGCACGTGTGTGTGTGTGTGTACGTGCGTGTGTGTGCACGTGTGTGTGTGTGCACGTGCATGTGTGTGCACGTGCGTATGTATGCACGTGTGTGCGTGTGCACGTGTGTGTGTGTGCACGTGCGTGTGTGTGCACGTGCACGTATGTGTGTGTGTGTGTGCACGTGCGTGTGTACGCACGTGCATGGTTGTGCACGTGCACGTGTGCGTGTGTGCACGTGTGTGTGTGTGCGTGTGTGCACGTGCGTGTGCGCTGCCTCCCTACTCGAGAGCTGCACGGTGATGCGGTCGGAGAGCGCCGTGCCGCCGCTGTTGCTCGCTCGGCACTGGTACTCCCCCTCGTAGCGCTCGGCCCGGCCGCCCCCAACCACATCCACGACGAGCGTCCCCGAGTCACCGCGCATCTGCACGCGTTCGTCGGCCTCCGGGTGGAAATCGACGCCGTCCTTTGTCCAGTGGAAGCTGCGGGAGACATCGTCGAATGCGCATTGTGAAGAAAGGTGGCCAGGAGTCTCAGGGGGCAGAGCACTGAGCCCAGCAGTGCTGATGCCCTGAGTGGGGTATCTGGCTTCTAACCTGTCAGTGATGAAACCAGGTGCTGGATTGTACTGAGTTGTTGGTCTCAGCAGAGTCAACAATGCACACACACACACACACAGGCGTTTGTTTGGCTTATTCCAGTGGCCGAGAATAAACAATACAATCTGAAGTAACCGGGTGGCTTAGGTCAGGATGCTGAACTGGCACCGCTGAGATTCAGTGCTTCAAATCCAGGCAACCAGCTGCTTGTGATCAGCTGGGTTTTTCACTGTAGTGAGCTGATGGTCTCAGCATGATCACCAATGCATAAGCACACGAACATATCGCGTGGCATAATTTTGGTTGCATTACTTTGCCTACATTGCAGCTGTAAGAAGTAAAATAATAATATCGGTTTGACTTCCACAAATGACTATTTCTCTGCAGCAAGGCATGTGGCACAGCGCAACCTCCATCGCGTGTGGATAAACAGATAACTTGAAGGGATCTGAGAAGTAGTTCTATTAAATTATCTTCCTTGGGCCATTCCCTAACACACACAAGACATAGACACTGGCCTGCAAGAATTCTGAATGGAAGTTTAATTCGATGACACGAATCCCTAATTCTAAATTGCCTTTGCAGACCGCTTTATCCATATTTGGGGCATGCCGTATAGACGCTCTGCAAAAATGTTCACCACATGCAAATGTAACATTGTTTATATATAAGAGCTCAAATTAATAAAATTAAATGAGAACATCGATGCAATGTATTTTTGTGTGGTTATTTTTGGCCTTCCCTGAGTTAATGATATAAACTCCACATTACCATTGTGAGGGCCAGTTTATGCACCAATTTATATTGGACACAAAGCAGCACGAATAATGGGCTGAATTGACCCCTGGCTGGGATTTGAACTCACAACAATACAATTTAAAGTCAAACGTTTAAATCGTGGTGCCTTCCATGTGGGTAGCGTTTAACCAAAGAAGATGGAATCACATTCTAATAATGAACAATTTTATTGCCCTCAGCAATACAAATAATTATTACGAATTAAAAATACTACTTTTTTTTTCCAGGCACACTCAAAATATTTTTGTTTGATGAACAAAATGTTTAAAATATGTTTTTAAACAATGCACAACAGTTGTATACTGTTAAATTTAGTCTGGTGTCTCAAATGCGGAAGGCAAAAATCTGAGCAAAGACACAGGCAGTTATTGGTGGCATTGTGATACCGTGACAAGCCGTATAGAGTGAGCTGCTAATTTTCATCCTATAATAGGGCTCCGACCACTGCTGGTGATGATCTTCATTACATTGTGAGCCTTTCTCTTGGCTATCTTCTGCTAAGTGCGGCCAACAAATCCAGGGCACAAACGTCTCCCTCAGAATTATTGCGAGTGACGTAAAGCAGATGGGCTTTTCTTAAATTGTGTGATATTTTATTAAACAAATCTGTCCATTTGCCGTGCTAATAATACATCGGTGAGTGGGTGAAATTATTTTAGCAGGTGAGAACTCATTGCGACGCATTAATTGGCATTTTAAATATAAAGGGGTAACTTTGGTTAAACAGTGGCATTATTCAAAAGCATTATTCGAGTGTGTGATAGTGTTGGCAGCTACAATTAGAAGAGCGCCATTACATACATTGTCACTTTCTGGTTGCTTGCTGGGGCCTCGACAGGCTGTGAACAACGTATGGGTAAAAGTGTTGCAAAGCAATGCTTGATGGTCGTTATAATGATAATTGTTGTTACTGCAGCTACTCAAAATTATGTTGATGAGGAAAATAATAACGATGCTGCTGGGTTTATGGACGATTTCACGATAACATCTCTCAAAAAGTCGGAAAAGCCCACTCGTAGGAGAAAAATTACTGGGCTCACGATGATACCACCAAAACACAGCAGCTTCAAATCTGCCGAGACTCTAAGCCTTACTATACCTCTCAGACAAAATAAAATTTAGCCAGTAGCAGATGGGCACTATAGATTAAGCATGATACGGTAATTAAATAACGTGTCAAGGCTATTGCGTTTCATATAATCCAATAGACGCGCGCAAAAAAAACTTAATGCGCACAGTGGCACGTGGCCTTTACTGTGGCAGGAGAGGAGTGCGGCTGGCAATCGCATCGACACAGTGGCAGGCATTAATGACAGTGCTGATGTAAGCGGGCTGATGGGGCAATGCTTTTACAGCGGCGCATCACGCGAGTGTGATTACATTGGGCTCCCCGCTCGCTCGGCACCAAAAGCTCTTTAGGTGCCACGTTCCCAGTGGGAAAAACGCCCCCCGCCCCCCCTCCTCCCCCCTCCACACACCCATCACCAAACGCGACCGCAATTGATGAGCAGGCGTGTGTCACTTTAAAAGACCTGTGGGCAGCATAAGATTTCCGCGTGGATATGTGACATCGCATGTCGGTGGTATTGTTTTACCACGGGACCCTCTTAAGCAACAACACCTTGATTTGTGTGGGTGGCTGCGATGTGAAGAGATACTGGTGGATGCCTCATACGTTGGCTGTGCAGTGGAATTTTTGGACGCGTGTTTTTTTGTTTTATCCTGTCCGTCAGTTGCATAAATCAAGGTCACTGTTGCAAAGGAGACTAGAGCTGGGACGATTTGTCGGTTAAGTCGATAAATGTACTAAAATTTTCAATGCTTTGTTTGTGCGTTTGATTACTCGGGCCCATTTAAAGACGGCAGCCTCCTTCACGCCGTGCCGCATGAAGGCTGGAACCCCCGGACGAGCCACGCCCAGCGTGACGCGGCTGACAATGCCGATTACATCACCAAGGTTGAGCTCTTCACCTCCCGTCCAGCGGCACATTTGACAACCGAAGGTGACCGTTTTTCGCATATTTTCGTGCTCTCCGATTGATTGAGTAATCAAACTGATGTTAATAATTGATTACTTTAATAATTGGATATCCCAGCTCTAAACGAGACTTTCCGTGCCAGTGGGCTTTCATGCAATGAAATAAAGAACAATGAACTCAACTGGGTTCAAAAAATGTTTCCTTGAGGATTTTATGTTTTATTTTTATTTTTAATTGAAATCCAAACACTCTCGATGGATCCTACGTTTTGTTACAAGACTGTTGCCAGATCCAAAAGGAACCTCGCAAGAACACGGTTGAGTGATTTTCTCCATTCACTGGCTTTCAAGAGAGACTGTCATCGACTGTGCTCCCTTACACGCGTGCGCATGTCCCCGCTTTGATAGTCGCAAGACTGTGCCGCCATTATTTTACGCGATTTTATTTTTTTTAGGATATGTCACACTACCACCATTTTCCTTGACGTTCTGCGAACGAAGATTCTTTGAGATGCCGTTCATTTTTATGCTTCTCTCTCTCTTTTTTTATTAAGACGACATTTTTTGCGTCGTTCACTTTATACGTACAAATGCCTAAATGTTTCATTTTTAATGTGAAACATTGTGCAAATGGAAATGAATCGTGGTTTATATGCCATTGAGGTGTTTTAAAAATGCTTCCGATTTTGGAAAGTTATTAGATTTATGAGAACAAGGCAATGCAAGTGAAATCCCGTCAAGGCACAGGTTGTCCTTAGAAGCTTAAACATTCTTACTCGATGACCCAGAGGGACTTTCCAAGATAAAAAAAAGTCGTTATCATATGATTATAAACTATAACCTGCAAGCACAGTAGTTCTAGGTCGGACTTGTCTCATCCTAATCTCACCCAGATCCAGAACGTGGACGACCAGAATGAATACCTCATCTGAGACCCAAGAATCACACTGCCTGGCTTTAACATTCCTCTAAGATACCGGCGGTGGAACCATCAACCGCATCAGAACATTAACAGGCCGATGCATACAGCTGCTCCATGAATAGAAAATTAAAGACAGGCCACAGTATGATTGTGGCCAAGCAAAGCAAGCTATGGACCGTATAGTAAACCACTGAAGTCTGCACTCCTTCAATGGAGGAATAGTAATGACATGAATTCTCTCCTGAAGCCCTCTCATGGCTAACAGACCTTGACACTGACATTTAGCGCATGCTTATATTGACATACGCAAGAATAGAATAAAAACAATCGAGACGTCGAATTTATATCTCACTTGGTGGTCTACTTAGCCCATAATCCTTTTGGGGTTGATACAATATTTACCAATTTTTGGTAACTAATCAGTGGTTTTCTATCAAGCCACGAATGTCTGAATTGTAAATGTGGAATCTCGGCCACTGGATATGCCACCCCTTTACTAATTTTAGCCCGGAGAAAGTTTTACTTTTTTAAATGTAATTCATAAAAGTCAATCAGCAATCAAATCCAAAAATCGAGTATTCTCCAGGTCAACTCAGCCTGAACTGAGTAACTCGTGCAGTGTGGTCATGAACCTGAGAAATAGGAAGACAAAGACTGTCAAGCAAACATATGGTGCTGGCCACATCTCCTCTTTACATGCCATCAAGGGTCAAGAGGTCATCATAGCCAATGCTGTTTATTCCCCCACATTTCGCCATCACTTCCGTTTATCAGCAAGATCCCATATTCGTTGTAAAGTTGATACTTTACCACAAAGGTTGGTTGCCGACCCCTGAGCATCCACAGCCTGCTTCAGTATCCTGCCCTAACTGTACACAATGCCCCACCCATTGCAACCTCCCGTTCCTCAGTACACATTGCCAAGTTCTATTCCAACCTTACAAGTTGCTTCCGAGCATGTTTCACATACACCTGTCTAAAGGCCAGAATTTTTCTTTTTAAATAACCATCTTCCAAATTGCTTGCCCTATCCTTCCTCCATTAACTTTCTCACATTTTCCACATGTACCACCATTCATAGCCAAAAGCTTATTTAGTAGTTGCTTTGTAAGAGTTAACCTTTCTGACCCGTGCATTAACAGACATTACTCCTGCCTCAAACAACAATCTTTAAAATGCTACAGTTGACATCTCGACATTTGCAAAGTGATTTATGAAATCCATAAAAAAAACCCACCCTGCTAATGCAATGCTTCTTGGTCTTCTTCTCACAACCTCCTGTATTATGCTCAGCCACCACAATAACCCTAAGAGAGTTATGCTAACAGCACTTGCTCTGACACTCTCGACATTGCACCTTGGCTCTGGGTTTGTGTCAGTATGTCTTTGTGTGTTTATGTATGTATGTGTGCGTGCGTTTGTGGGAATGAACCCAGCAACCCGAGTTCGTTTCCTGCTCACTGCTAACACCAGTGAAAATCATGTGAACTGGTCCTGGACCACCCCTAAGTCTACTCAGCCTCAAATGAGTACGTGGTACGGTGTGTAAACATCGCCACTTGGGAGACAAAGGCGGCCAGGCGTGGTGACGGCCACCCACCTCCTAGTGTGCCGTGCCGGCCTTCATAGGCGCTCGATGACAGCACTTTCCCCAACAGTCTTTTTGAAGCTATACGGGGGGATTCCTTGTCATTGTACGCGTGCGCGTGCGTGTTACCTTGGCGGTGGGTTGCCCTTAGCTTCACACTTAATCTCAATGTTGTCTCGGGGGTCCACAATGTAGTTCTTTGGCGACTGAGCCGTGATGGCTGGAGGTTGTTTGACTGCAGGTGGCAACAAAGGTAACGCTGTTATTTGAGCAGCAGCACCGCTTAAACAATAAGCGCGCACACGTGTACACGAATACAAATACTAGGCGACATGTACACGGACTCTGTATCCCTGCTCCAACAAGCCCACGGTTATCAGTGGGAATTCCACGTTTGTATGTCTCTCCATGGGACAGCCACTGTTGACTTCCTATGGAGTTCTTATTGCACTGGCCCTCTCCATTCCTGATGCACGACTCTGACCACAGCGTCACACATCTTTTTCTATCGGCCCCGCGTTGGGTGACGATTAGACAAAGCCACTTAACACCCTCCTCTGCCGTCACACGGCGCAGTAGCAGGGAGCTATGGGAGGCGTGCGGACGGTGGCGTGCGGAGAGACGCGGGTGAACGCGTGTTGTCACCTTGGCAGAGGCGTGAGATTGATGTCAGGGGAGCCTCAGGGCCGGTTTTCACCATTGGGAATGGGATACCGTTAATGGGTGAGGAGTAATGAGCCTGCAGGCTTCCCTATGGCCCCACACAGCCAAGCCAGCCCATGCGCATGGCACGGAGGTGATGTCAACAATGAGATGGGGACTTTTAACAAATTGGATGAGTGATGGGTGTCATCAATCAAATTTCATGCATCTTGTGTGTGTTCTCATACAACGCATGCACAAGTGCTGTATATCAGCATATTTGTTGGGATTTTCTGATCAAGCATCAACAAATCTTAGAAGCATTTTATATGCTCAACGTAGCAATGATTTACATTTGAAGGCCATAAAATCACTCCCCTTTATTTTTTATCTATATTTAATGAACAGCTTTCGTCCTCACCGGATAATGGATGTAATTATTTTTGAGTCGTGAGTGAGTAATGTTAACATCTGTCTAGTTCTCACTTTTCATTCTTTATTTTTTCAATACGGTAAGTTGACAATCTAACTGTAAATTATATTTTCAATGGCTTACAATTTGCTGAGTCTAACATTTCACCAAGATCCCATTTTTGAAATGTAAAATTTCCTCAAAGGTTGATTTTTTACTAATGTCTAATATACAATCTGCACTCACATTCAGCTCCATGCAGTAATAATAATAACAACAGGGTTAATTTTTCTAATGATATTGACCTGCCAAAATATGTTCATTTTAGGTATGCAAGCAGGCAAATAATGTCATGTTTTATCATAAAAGAATAACAAATCTTATTAAGTACGACCGCTTGAGTATGGAGTACCGTACTGTATATGCAACACACACACACATTGAGTTTCACACATATTGTTACAAATTGTCAGTCCATAATTCGTGTGGGGTTGATAAATTGAGTTCAATTTTTTTGGAAGTCAACTGTGCTTGTTGTATGGACATACTCTTCTTGGCCATAGGAATATGGAATTTCCACAACTGATCCAGGACTCCTGATGGAGATGAGCCACTACTCCTTTGTTTGAAACTACAAGGGGGACACTGATATTAACTTCAATCCCCATTGACATACTCTATTATCGTTCAAATATGTTATTCTTTAAAGGTGAGGCTTTATAAGATTCTGAAAATAGCATCAACATAATGTTCGCATGTACTGACGTTAAGATAGTTTACAGTGTGTCTGCATAGTCATTATTTTGTTCTTGGCCACGATGTTTGTCTTTGGTGCATATTGAACCCCTGTGGGTTCCTCCTGGGGGTTGTAGAATTCCCTCGCCCCGTGCATTTCCCGCTCTCCATCCCCTCTCTTGTTTGCTACACTCATAACAGACTACCTGTGATGTGGCCTGTCGAGTCAATGACCCTTCTTTCTTACAACGCTTTGAGATGAGTTTGCATGAAAGCGGTTTTAATTGTAAATCCCTATCCTTGGTACTCATGTTATCAACCCCACTGAAGATAGACTCATGCTTATGATAAATACAAATATACAGATGTTCCACATGCTGTATATATGAACGTGACCAATGGTTCATGCACACAAAACACGACTCATCAATGCAACGGCATGAGTGTGGTTCCCGTGACTGTGACGGGGGGACCTGATGCATTATTGTGAACAAGTGATCAACAGCGAGATTTGAAGTTTTCCTTACTGCAGGGATCCATACTCGTTGGTTCTTTCGGTAAAGTCAGCAAAAACATTTCTTGCTGTGGTTTTCCCACCTGATGATGACTGCTTGTGTTGTAATCTACACGTCGTGATTTAATTTATTTTATTATATGTCTACGTGACTTTACCGAAAGAACCAAAGAGTATGCTCAACAGCTATATGGTGTTAATCCTATACGTTGTAGCATAGCTTCTGTTATAATAAAGTATGTTTGGAAATGAAAGACTGTAACAGTAATCAAGTGCAATATTACTATTTCAGAGGTGGACGATCTTTCAGAACTGTATTTTTATCCTTTCTGATGATTTCCGGAAGCTACGATGCTGTGGCATTGCTAAGGATTTGCACGTATTTTCGCGCAGAATAATTTAGCAATATATTTATATTAATTTGGCTACTGCTTTGCATGATGAAAAGTTATTATTATTAAGTTGATGATGCAGATTTGTGTTGATGTAAAATATATTATTTTTTGCATGCAAAAGAAATGCGTAACATAATGGATTATTTCCTCGTTAAATAATATTTATATATATTTCTTTAAGTTGATCATTGTTTTCGTGTAAGTATAAACGTATTTAAATAAACTTAATTATTAATTATGTGAAACAGTGTTCGGAAACTGAAACAAAAAGATAACTTTCTTATTGAAAATAATGACTTTGCTTGACATATTTCCTCGGGTTAAATTTCAAAGAATCACTTCCTTGGCCGTGTGTTTCAAAGGTGCTTCATATTTATACGTGTCATCAGAATTTAGCGCGAGCAATGCTGTGCAAGAGAGTGCATGCGAAAGGAGCGACGCATTGCCTGGCATTGCATGTGATTCATTATCACGTCAAATTCGCCTACCATAGAGCTTGGGCTCGTAGAGCATGCGGTAAATGATATTTTTTTTAACCGTCAAAAAATAAACACGAAATAACTGAACGAAATAAAGCCAAGGGGCAAAAACTCAACCACGGTGCAGATTTCTTCCTGCACAATGCGTAATCTATTTAAGCCGGCACATGGATTGCGTCATGTGCACATTTTAAATTAAGGTATTTTCTTAGGATAAAAAAAACTAATTCCTGGGTGGATTATGAATCGGGGTAAAGACCGCACGGCATGAACTGAGACAATGGGCCCCCGCACGCCTCTCCATCATCTCGGCCGAGCGTCCTGTCAGATGCCCGCCTCGAACTAGGCACGGATTTTAACTCCATTAAGCGGCTCAATGGCTCGAGACAAAGATCATGAACGGGAGCAGGGGGTTCTCTCGGAGGTGCGAAAAAAACCCGGCAAAAATCGCTGGTGCTTATCGGTTTAAGACAAGGCCCCGGATTTTAAGTCTTCATACGATCCTCATCATCGTTGTCTTTACCACCGCCACCGCCACCACCATCACAATCGTCGTAGAGTGCTTGCTGATTTGTTACGTGGCGGACTACAAGCTGTTTATTAACGATATTCGAGCGGGCTATTGATTCAGGATTTACTGTGGTATGCAGCTTTCCTATGGAAATGCGTTGGATGTCAATTGTTCACGTGAAGATTTGGGTGGAAAACACTCATCTTTGCATCTTAGACAATAATAATTGGGTCAAAGAACACTTGATAAAAGCACTCTTAGAAAGCAATTCTTAGTTATGATAAAAAATAGACAATAATTAATTTATATGCTCAATGGCTGAGAGGTGAGGAGTTTGAATGCTTGGACATTATTGCGGTGTTCAGTTGTACGTAAATTCCTGGAACAATCAGGAAACGGCATTGTCTAAATAACTCAAAGCAGGGCTCTCTTGAAAAGAGCCTGATTAATCATTGAGAGCGTTCCTGTATGAAAGACATCACTATGGTATCTGTTAATTAACACATTTGTATAACCTTCACGGAGTCTCAGGCGGCAATGCCCAAAGTTAAAGTCTTGAAAACATTCATAATTGATAACAATATATTGAGGACGTAATTTAATTATGTGATTCCGTTAGTTTAATGGACTACCATTTTTTTTAACTGACGTGAAAAATCACAAATATTAACAGTTACTAAACGACATGCAGAACCATTGTGTGGATATTGATCAAAGCTTCATGAGTGGATAAATCCATGAACAACTCAATTTGTTTTGAAAGCAAAAGCACGTTTACATCATATTTAACAATTAAATTACATCAAATTAAAAGCAGTGCAAATGCGTTTGGATTATGTTAAAAGTGTATATATTACATTTTTCATTGTGCCAAACTGATTCTAAAGTTGTTCAAGGAGGCATGGATGGATCACACAGCACAAAACCAAACAACACACTTACACTCTTCAAGCAATTTGTCTTATCCCGGAAGAAATGTTTCGTAAAAAGAGGAGAGAAATATGATTATTGTGAGAGAGAGAGAGGGATAGAGAGAACATAGTGCACGTCACATGAATAAAACCCACTTGTGAAAAATGCATTTAATTAAATGTAGGCTTCATACATTAACGTCCAAGCACAAAGAAGAGAAAAGGGTCATATTAACACTGTCATAATTCGGCTAAATTACCCGACATTTTAAGAACATAAGTGTCTATTGTTTTATCCAAATGATTTGTTGATGCTGCGTAGGCAGTTGGTGCACAAGAACAGATAAGACAAAATATACTGAACACATTCCTTAATAACACTGTGGCCTTAAAAGGAAACATATAACAGTCGACGTTTCGGGCAATGGCCCTTCTTTATAGCGCAACACATGAAGAGGCCAGAGAGATTAAGTGGATAACAAAAGTTTGAGACTGCACTTTACACCTTGGGACCTGATGATAATTTAATTATTGTAAATGTCTTCTGATGTTTTCAATAAAAGTTTACTTTTATCCAGGTAATCAATGGTTCAAATAATTCCGTTCATTCAATGTGATACAACTGCAAGACTGAGATTACTCTGTCATTGTCCTTCATGTGTTATAATAGAAATTTCATGTAATTAACATATTAAAAAAAACACACAAATAGCCAGGAGCACACGCTTATTAGTCAGTACTTTGGAGACGAGGGTTGGCATCCCACAAAGAATTTAGAACTCCCAGACCTACTGGGCTGTGGGATTGGTAAGGAAATCACAGTTCAGCAAGTGAACTGAATCCATATGCTCAGATATTTGAGTTATTATCCCTCATATGCATGGGTTTTCTCTGAATGATCAAGTTTCCTCCCGAATGCCCAACACTCATGAAGAGATTTGGCCTGGATCGTCTCGAGATTCAGTGATATTCTCGTATACATCACAAATTTAGGCTTTCCTGGACAAACACAGTTAATATTATTTGTGTTATTGTAATTCATATTTTTAAATACTACATGGTGTTCAATAGCTCATCAAACATATTGCTCTGCCAGGTAAGCGAGCATAAGACTGGAGAAGAAGAGAAGGTGGACCACCAGCGTGAAAGTGAGACAGAAAATCAAAGGCAGAAATCTCCTTGGCAGCCACTTTCACAGACCACTAATCAAACCGATGTTATGGGAGGGTACTTACAGTCAAGGGGAATATTGAGAGCTGACAGCTGCCACATAAGCAGCTGTGCTACCATTACTTCAAACAGAGTTGTCCTCCGATGGGAAGCCATCTTCTCAGCTACCACTTGTTCTTGAATAAATAAAACATAAAGCGACGAGCACTGCACTCCCACAAATCAGTTGCGGCGTCGCTTCTCTTGATGCTGCTGCTGCTGCGTAGATTTCTCCACGACAGGCAGCAGACTCACACGCGGTGCGCGTGTGAGTCTGGCGAACTGCAGGGCAGGAATAAAACAAGACATTGGGAGGAGAGTGAGAGAGACAGGGTGGGTGGGAGTGGGGTGGGGGAAGAGAGGGTGAGGAAACATATTAAGGGCAGCAGAGAGTGGGGACAATAGCACCACCAGCGCATACGTCACCTGCGACGCAAAATTAATAACGTTCGGCCCCCATCTCGCTCGCACGCACGCACGCTCGTGCGCTTGCCCGTCTGACCCTAGAGCCACCCACACCATCAATCAGGGCCGCCGGCTCGAAACACCGAACACCACTCGTCTCCGATCATCACGACCTCTAGGAGAGGACCCTCCTGTGACCCGCGAGGGGCGATGATGAGGGTCAGCGGTGGTGCTCTTGGCAGTGGCGGTATTCCGCGGAGGAAAAATAAGAGAGGCCACTATTTCCCAAACACCTTTGCCGCAAATTGAAAGACATCCGAATTAAGGGAACGCGGTCGTTGCCGAGTGGAGATCACTTCGAAGAGGGGTGACGGAGGCCACAATCAGAGGCTTTTGTGTTATCAATTCGAGGCAGTGAATGCATGCAATCAAAAGCCAGACTCATAGACCAGCCACTTACATTCGTTTTGGAGCTAATTTGCTCCCGTGGCAGTTGGGGTGGTGATTATTTTGCGCATGCAGTTTCCCTGCCTGAGAACAAACGGGAGAAGATTCGTGCAAAATGTCACAATTGTATAGCTGCTGTGATTTTTTTTTCATTCTGACTTCCTGTCTCTGTCGCTAGTTTGTGCTCATAACTTCAAGAGAATTCTGTTGCATATACATATATATTTTAAAATAAAACCAGAGAATATAGCAAAAAAACGACAATTTTGTCATATATATCCCTTTACATATGCAGTTTAATATCTGTGGTTTCAACATATGACACACAAACAGAAGGTTAGAATCATTCATTCCTATAATTTCTACCATTCCTCCATTGCCACTTCAAATGACTACTCTAATACTTTACGGGAAGTCAAAGCTGGCTGTGCTGTGGACAAACTGCCCTATGCCAACATTGTGAAACTCCAGCACCGGATCGGTCCCCCAATATGGATGAGGATCACCAGGACTCCTTCACAACTAAAGCTCGTAGACTACATTACAAAGACTCTTTGGTTCTTTCGGTAAAGTCACGTGGGTATAAATAAAATACATCACGACGTTTCCGGCGCCACACAAGCGTCCATCATCAGGTGGGAAAGCATTGGTCTGCTGCTGAGGCAGACTGCTTTAAAAGGTTTGAAATGGGTGTAGCTCAAGGGTTATAAAGAAGTGGCCGGGGCTAGTGATGTTAATGTGCCAATGTGAATCGGACATTCACAAGCCCGCACAGGGAACTATGAGTAAACCAGCCCCACAACAAAGATGTGCTTCATTATGATTGAGCCGCACATTCCGAGCTTATGATATACAGGGGGGGGGGGGGGGGGGGGGGTAGTCACACATCCGCAACAACATGAGAAAAAAAACACATCAATACATTCCAACAGCATACATATGTAAGAGCCTGCACATGTGCCTAAATCGTCACTTGAAGCCACTCCACGTTCACCATTGGCATTCTCTAACAGTTACTTTCCCCGAGTACTCCGTTCCGCCCTAACTTTCAAGTTACAGACCGAGTCATATGATTAAGGAAAATCCCTTCTGGTTTAGGATTCTCGCGTTTCAAGAGGCAAGCCAAAGCCTTTTCATCAACAGCACATATCATGGCCAATTATTTGTTTAATGAATATAAAATTAGCATTGTCTCCCTGCTCAAATGAACACTGGGCAGTGCTCATATGTATTCGGGATCTTTATACAGGGTTAAAATAATAATCCATATTAATAGTGCAAGCCACTGTCTACACTGGACAAATGCTGTTGCTGCTGCTGCTGCTTTCAGACAAAGGGCAAAAGGCGCGACGCTGCGATGTCTTGCCCATGCCAGCGCTGGCAGAAGGGCCTCCTCCCTCTCGTGGCTATTTTTGCCTTTGCATTTATGCTGACAAGACGCCTTGGAAGAGGTGGCAGTATCCACGCTTTACCCAAACACCCACGACCTGTGTGTATGTAGAACTTCTTTCGCACCATACGGAGCCAACCGTGCTAATCGGAGGTGTGGGGATGAAGTTGGCCATGCGTGTTCCTGGCCACACCACCCGTGCATGCCTTTTGTAGGTGCTCGCAAATAGGATTTGCCCCAAAAGTATGATCAAGGCTACACGGGTTTTTTATTGTCTTTGATATTACTGTATAAATATCACAGTTATTAGTTTACTCAACATTGATCCTTTGAAACACCAATTCACCTCTTGGCCATGCACACCTGCGTTGAAATCTGAACCTGCCTTAGGCCTGCACACAAGGTCAGCCTCAGTCAAATATAGCAATGTTTTTTTTCACAGACCACTGCTTTAATCAAGGGTGTCTGAAACCTGGATTTGAACCCATGTAAATGTTCCTCTCAACATACTATGACTTGCCCATTATGAATCCCGTGTGCCACCTGGCCATCTCAGACTTTAATTTCAAATTGATATCTTGCGCCATCACCACTACCACCACCACTACGAACCACCATGTGTGCTGATACAAGTTTTTTTATGACATCATCCATACCCGTCATTCACAGGGCCGTAAAGCAGTTAGACTTGAATCATCATGTGAAAAATTAAAACGAAGGCTAAAAAAATAGGATGGCAAACGCCTCCGAGACAATAGTTTTTGAAAACCCTGGCATGCCCCATCGCCCACACTGTCAACAAGGTATCAGCCACTCGACGTGAAAATCAGCTTGGAGTTCTCTCGCCCGGTAGTTGTGTCACTCTGCCTTGTAAAGTGCGCTTTGGCTTGAACAACTTAGCCTGCGGCATGATAAATGTTAATATTCTTATTGCAATCGGAGTTACTGTATTGCTTCGATACAGTACGGTGCCCCATATGGAAGCCCCATATGGATCATACGTCCGCGTGTTACATTCAGAGTAAATGGCCTGTCCGTGTTATACGTTTAACACATGTTATATTAACACATTTATAACCCTTTTGTGAATCCACGAAGGCTTGCCCACACTGTGTCAGTCATGGGGGTTGTTTGAGCATACTTCAACATGCCTGCTGAGTGCGGGTTCGCGAAGAGGGGGAGGTCCCAGAACCGGTTTACATTTCACTTGCCACTGACGTTACCCGCAGCTGAGAATCAAACTCAGGTCACTGGGTATATACCGGTATATGGGTGGCCCAAAAGTCAGGACACATAGGGTTATTTAATTTATATTCACACTTGATATTAAAATATTGCAAATAGTTTATTCTTCAAATCAACGTTTATCTATTTTCATTATTGATATATATGTCTTTTTCCTTTTCAGATGACATTTGAACATGGAAAGAAAATGTGCCAAAGACGAACGAGTTCAATTCGTTTTTATGTATGCTCAAGAAGGCAGCTGTAATACTTAATAAAAAAAAGTCCTGAATTAATTAAAATAGAAAATTAATGCGTGCATTTATTTTAATAGGAATTGGTTTGAACATTCGTTAAAATAAATGAAATAACCTTATGGGGTTTGTTAAAATAAATATTATAACCGTTTGTGTCCTGACTTTTGCAACACCCTGTATGTGTGTGTCTGCATGAAGATGTGCATGTACATATGCACGACATATATATCATGTATGCTGCGGTATATAAAACCAATAACCATATATGCACCTGGCATTGACCTCTAGATTGACCCTGCCTAAAACAAGTGTTTTACTTGGTTCTCACTGAATGGAATGAACACCAAATCTAAAGAGGGGGGGGGGGGGGGGGTAATATCTATTTACCGTATATGTTAAACTTTATACACACATATGCATGTGAGGGTTACCACCTCTAAGGTTAAAACACCGGCACATATCATTGGATGAAGGAGACTATTTGAGTGCCAGATGAGGGGAGAAATACCAGCAAATGCGCCGTCTTTAGTCGTGTATTATTACACAAATTACACAAAACTGGGACTTTAAACATACTGAGAACAAGCTAATAATAACAATTTCATGGACAAAATTATCGCAGTGAGTCGCTAACGTGAGTCAGAGATTTACAGATTTCCCAGGACAGCTACCGCAACAAAGAGACGTTTCTGGGAAAACCAGGACCTTAATACACGTTCTGCACGTGGAGTACATACAGTATTTACACGCCCTATTTAATAGTGTGACTATATAAATACATGTGTGTGTAGACATGTTTGGTTTACCCAGACACTGAGTGTATGGATTATATTGTGAAATTTCATGGCCAGTGTCCAATTTTTTTACATAGTGTATGCATTCTATGAGCCTCAATACACAACTAGCAACGACTTAAGAGTATTTAATTACTGAGTCAAAAGCAACATGTATTGAATAACGTTATAAAAATGAAGAAGCCTAATTTATATCTATGTTGTGAAGATTAAAAAAAAACCTATTTGAAACACACTCTGATAAAGATCAAAGGTGCAAACCATGACACCTTGACAAACATTCTCAATACCGGTCAATAATACGTCTAACCCTGGTCAAATTCCACATATCTTCCTCGAGAAAAAAAATATCCCATATCTTTATGCTGGTCGGGCATCCATTTAAACAAGATATCGGCATCTCAGAATATCTACCCGGTACAGATAGCTCTAAAGTAAATAAAATGTTGTGTATAATACAATCTTGAAAGTGAACTCACTTTAAATGTGACAAGCTGTCCTTCAAATATACACACACACACAGGAGAAATTCCACACGCATAAGAAATGGCGAGTTCAACTCCCGGCCAGAAGTGGACTCATCGTCTCTCCAGAAATTCCTGCACGCAGACGAAGCCACCAAGGGAGGGCTCAAAGCTGTGAGGGGTGCGAAGAATGTAGTGAGTAATACACGACTTTGTAGTTTTAATGTGATTTTTTTAATATATAGCGCGTCATAAAGCGTGTGTGTGTCAGGTAACACTTGCGCGCGCGAGTCACAGAGCGCATAACAAACATATGGTCCATTGTCACAGGATTATCTTCGAATTTGTATTCCTTATTTCTGAATTCTTTGTTCACAAGGGAAAATGTCATGTTCAAGCTGGGCCTGCCTGTCCATGATATCTGTAGTCAAAGCATATATATGTGCAATTGGCTATACTTGAGAACCCAGTTTAATAACTATCAACAAAATATTTGTATTTATTTATTTTACCAGGTAAGGCCCACTGACCTATTTAGCTCTTTTTCATAAGCGACCTGGCTATCCCTAATTATAGCGCAACGAAGTGGCTTATGTGGACATTTATGGCAGTCAAATACTCGAACCATGGCTAGCTGCCTGTATTTGAACCAAGGCCTCAGCGGTGCTGGCAAACATGTTATAATGGGAATTTCATGTAATTAACATACATTGTTTTAAACAAATAGCCAGGAGCACACGCTTATTATTCAGTACATTTGAGACAAGGGTTGGTATCCCACAGAGAGTTTGGAACTCCCAGACATATCTACAAGGCCGTGAGGTTGGTAAAGAACCATCAAGCTACTGCACATTTTTTTTCTGAAACTCATAATACGCGCACTGAATCGTACGTGTCACGTTAAATTAACCACGGGCTTCATGCAAACTGTTAGCAAATTATATGCTGTGAAATA